GTGTGTAGGCTTGCTCTGAACTCTCAATGTTCTCATAATGTACAAGTTTCTGTTTTGTCAAGGTTCGTACCGGTCTTGGAAAACTGTAAATACTCTTGGAATGTTGTTTTTATTTTCCAAGACATGGAAAACTCTTGGACTTGGAATGTAGTTTTTATTGTCCAAAACATAGAAAACTCTTGGAATTTTGGGAAGTTGGCAAAATTCTTGGAAGTCTTAAAAAACAAATTTTTAACTAGATATAGATATATTGTAAAAATAATTCCTGGAAGTTCACTCGACTTTACGCTGTCTGAAGTGTACCATAAATATGTATTTTTGCATACTGAACGAAAAATTTTCTTACGAATTGATGTGTTATTTTTGTCTTGGAAAAAAGAAATCTGGTCTTGATTTTGGAAAAGGGAAAAAAATCTCCTGCTCTGTATGAACCCTGGTTTGTTCACTGAGGTTCATCTCGAAATCTTTCCATGTAAACATCTACTTACGGAGTGGATCGTTCTCTCCATCAAATCAACTAGGAAGTTTTTCTACTGATAGAAGTAGAAGGCTCCTTCAGTCGATATAAAGTGGAGCCACCTTCTACCAAAATCTTTGGGACAGGCTGATTTTCTTTTGTTTAGATATGTCTATCCCCGTCGTTTTATGCAAGAAAAATTCAGAAATTGTGCAAACAGCCCCAAAATGTGAAATTATGCGATTCTGTAATTTTTAACAAAGAATGATGAAGGAAAATAATCAGAAATTATGAAAAAAATGATCAAGTTTTGCAAAATTATGCGGGGTGCATAATATCTCTCCACGTGGAGAGATATGTTTACAATAGAGATGTTGCTCAAATAAAAGGAGAAAGATCGGGGATTTCATTTTCTTTCTATTTACTGCTGTTTTCAGATTTACTGTGTTTGATTTAGTGGACTCCACTGTAGTTTCTGTTTTTAGCATCTCAATACTCCCTTCAGGTGAGATGTGTTTTCTTACCACTCACTTTATTATTCAAACAATTACAATCAATAACAAATGGATATTGTAATCGTGAAAAATGTAGCATAAATATTTCTACTATAACCTACACTTTTCAGCCGTGCGTTGAATATGCAACCGACAATAAATCCACACAAATATAATTTGATGTGTATATCAGATGTGAGAACAAGTTTTGGAGCAGCAATCCTAGTGGTTACTGGCGGTCTATGGTGATACAATAGCCTTTTTTTTTTCAGCCATGCGTTAAATATGGAACCAGCAATAAATCCACACATATTTGATGTCTATATCAAATATCTGAGAGAAAGTTTTGGAGCTGTGATCACAGCAGTTATTGTTCTATTCTGAGGTATGAAATAAACACTGCTGCACTAAAGATGGGACGGCCGGAAAACTAAAAAGAAGAAAGCACCAAACAAAAAAAGTTTTTCCCACATATAATTTTATGGATGTCCAGCACACTATATCACTGTAATCTTGAAAAAAATGATTGGAAAGAATAGTCTTATAGTAGATCCCTGCAATCTTCATCCGCTCACGTTCACTACTGTACTGTAAGAGAGATAAATGGTTAGAACTGACGCCAAATGATTTTAGAAAAAAAAACTGAAAAACGGGCGGAGCATCACATCTCACCAAAAATGAACCTCGTAAAGTTTATAAATGAGCAAAAAAAAACGTCTCTGTAACTGTTACCTCTCCCCTTTCCTTTGCAAGTGTATGAAAAAAAATGGGAAAAAAGCTGGAAAAACCAGAGATTTGGTATCCCTGTGACACAGACATTTCAGAACCAGGATCCAACATGAGCTCATCGTCATCGCCATTGTCTTTTTCATCCTGTTCAAGGGTATAGGCCACGAACAAACACTTCACATCTTTCCCTACCCTGGGCTAGCCTCTTGATGTTATTCCATGTTTTCCCACTTTTCTGTCCAGACTGTATCCAGTGGGTTTCACTCTCTCCTAGTAGCCTGTACCTCCTCATCTCTTGCCTGCATGAGCTACAAGCCTTGAAAGCTCTTCAAATCTCAAGATACAGTGTCAGAGAGGTAGTTTTGAACCTGATGCTTCCTTTCTCTGTGCAGGCTTAAATGTTTCTTATTTTAACTCTTCATCATAAAAGCAAAAGTGGAAAAGAAATATGACATATTAATTATTATAATATCTACTTTATTTTTAGCAAGTTTTATGGTACTTGCAATACAATCAATAAGTGCCGAAGAATAGAGGTGTTACAAGAGTAACAAACACAAAAAAGAAAGGGGAGAGATAAGGATAAAAGATGTTTGATAGAAAAGAAGGAGCAAATGTCGCCAGGGCACCCGCCAACCTCCCACAAAGTTATATATCTCTACAAATTTAAATGTTTTACTACGGAGATGTACAGAAGAAGCTCCTCTCTGAGATATGAAATGTATACAAAGTCTTGTACATGCATGACATAATTCAACAAAACATCAAAACAAACACACACAATGTTGTGAAAGAGAAATAACAATTTTATTTTATAAATGCCAAAACATTGCAGCATATTTCACATACATCATACAGTTCATTATTTTAATAAACTGCCCAGCACTTTTAAACCTATTCGCGTAATAAGTTCTGGAAAACTCTAACTAAAACAAATAAACTGCTTGAAAGGAAGCAAAAAAGGCAAGTTTTAAAATGGAGTCTGGGGTGCTCCAAGGCTAATGTCACACACATAAACGCACGCACACACACACGTACAAGCAAGCACACACACACAGGTAAGCACGCACACACACACACACACACAAGCATGCATTCCCCCCCCCCCCCTCTCTCTCTCTCTGTTATAAACATACACATGTTAATATAATAGTACATTAAAATATAAAATAATAATGATCCCCGAGGATCACATGGGGAAAACAGGGTTATCAATCATTTCAACACATTTCCTGCAACATGGAAGACAAAGAAGTTAAAACAGAACAATAGGCCTACAGTAATATAATATACAAAGAAGCCAAAGAAATGCCCACAGTACAGAACAAAAAGTTATATACTGTGGCACAAGTAATGATCTTCAGCGGGGACATATATAAGGTTGCTTTTAAGGACAAGCAGGCTAACTCAGATTTTGGGGGTTTCCAAAAATTTTGACTGACACCAAAAGTGGGCATTGCCCTACCAATAGAAGTTTGGTTTCGTTAGTGTGAATATTTGTTTGGTTATAGAGAAAACTCTCCTTGTCTTTTAAAGAAATTGAACAAGGGGCAAAAACTTTTCCTTCGATTTTCTCAAAACAGCATTTTTCAGGATAGCCCCCTTGTGCATAAAAGCGACCATATATAATAGCGTACATTTGGATGGTTGTTTTCTATAGCTGAAAAAACTACGGAACATAGAACCATGAAAAAATTACTGAAGGAAGTTCAAAGACCAAGCTAAGTTTCTATCAAGTCAGTAAGTCCGTGCTTGCATTCACCTAAATTTTTTAAAAGAAAAATAGAAAACACTATCGGCCGTTTACGATTTTCCTGTTCGTCATTTCAATGCAGTGTTCAAGACATTTCGTTTTCCATGGCATAAAAATTGCTCTTCTGCCGGAAATAAACAAATCTTCTTTGGGCGTCTACAGTACAGTAGAGATGTTGCAGATCGCTTACAGAAGTCACTTTTCTGCGGTAGTTAAGACTTAGAAGATGTATCTTTGTGATAGATCTAGGTCTAGAGCTAGAGATACTATGCCACCAAACGGCAGGTCTGATTATGATTAGCACCTGTACTGTAGCTAAGTCTGGGATAGATTTTAATGTAGAGGCTGTGCTGTGGCCCTGTGGCTAGGAGACGAAGACAGTATATCAGGTATGTGTGTATGTTAGACCTATCTAGATCTAGATGAGAAGAAAATCACAATGCTACCCAAACGGCGAACGATTGGACAAATGACACCTGTGGCTAAGAGACAAAGGCAGAGTAGATCTAGATATAGATCAGCGGTGAACACTGAAAATACAGAGGGAGAAGAAGTATAGGAAGTAAACGAAGAGGAAGAAGAAGATCAACCCGATACTGATACGCTCAGTAGAAATCCACCAGCCTTTACATACAATGATGCTGATCTAAATCTTGACAATACTTGCTCTATTGGACAAATGACAAAAGTGTGCAATCATTGTAATCCTACAAAGTTTCAAGGAGAAACAAATAGTATTTGCTGTGGGAATGGGAAACATAAACTGGATCCATACCACCTCTGCCACCAGAAATTAAAGATCTGTTCATGGGTAATTCCCCAAACTCTGAGCATTTTTTAAGCAACATCAAAATGTATAATTTTTCATTTCCGTGTGCAAGGGCAGGTTTATCACTTGGTTGGCTCATTACTTCCAACAGAACATGAAAATGAACAGTTTTTGCAGGTTTATTTTTTAGACTCGGAGGACCAAACAAAATCCAGAATGACGATGACACATGACTGCAGTCTTAAACGCAATGTAATCAATCTGTTACAAGACAGTCTACAAACACACAACAAATACATCAAAGAAATAAAGGCTGCATACCAATATATGCATCTCAAAATGGACTTCAAAATTTCAACACACCAATTCATAAAAATGCTAGACCACTCGGTGAGCACGAGAGACGTTACAATGCACCGTCCTGTAAAGAAGTTGCTATTCTTATGCCAAATGAACCACAGTTGGGCATTGTGATATTCTAATCTGCTACAAAACTAACAGCTTAAAACGAATCTGCGAACTGCACCCAGCATACAATCCACTGCAATATCCCTAAATATTCCCAACAGGAAGTGACAGATGGAGTCTAACTGTGAAAATGAACAAACAAGTGACCCAACCGCAGTTCTATAAATTCTATCTTTTCAAAAGACAAGGATACTATCATCTCTTAGCCAGGCATTTGCTTCAACAATTCATTGTGGATGTCTATGTAAAAATTTAAAGTGAAAGATTACTGTTTCTCAGGCGAGAGCCGGGTTCATTGAGAGCCGACAACTGCAGAGAGCTACGTGATGCTTTTTTTTTTTCAGCAGGCAGTGATCTAAGAAATATAGGACAGAAAGTTGTGTTGCCAGCAACGTTCACAGGTGGACCATGTTGTATGTTTGAAAGACAACAGGATGCCATGACATACGTTCGTTTGTAAGGAAGACCAGATTTGTTTATTACTATGACAACAAATCCAAAATGGACTGAAATAAAAGAACATCTTTAACCGGGACAGCAAGCACATGACAGGCCAGATTTGACAGTGCGCGTCTTCAAGTTGAAATTGCAAAACCTCGTGCATCTTTTGAAACAAGGTGCCTTTGGAAAACTACAGGCGTGGTTGTATTCAATTGAATTCCCAAAAAGAGGTCTCCCTCATTCACATATTTTGCTCTGGCTGACAAAGGAAAGCAAAATTATGCCCGGTACAATTGACAACGTTGTTTGTTCTGAGATTCCAGACAAAACATGTGATCCAAATCTCTACTCAATAGTGACCTCCAATATGTTCCATGGTCCATGTGGAGAAAACAACACTTCTTCAGTTTGCATGAAAAATGGGAAATGTTCAAAAGCGTTCCCAAAGCCCTTTATAAAGGAAACAGAACATAGTGTTGACTCTTACCCAAAGTATAGACGGAGGAGTCCAGATGACAGTGGAAAAACAGCAACTATAATTTCAACAGTCAATGAGAAACAAACTCAAAAGGATGTCGACAATCAAAGGATTTTTCCATATAACCCGTGGCTTTTGTGACAACTAAACTGTCATATCAATGTTGAAATATGCACTTGGAGGATATATAAATTCCCACTACAATGTACATGAGAGGCATCCAAGTTTTATACAGCTTGCTATTCATTTGGAAAATGGACAGCGTGTTTACTTCAATGCACAAACTGCACTTGAGAGAGCAACAAATGGCCCCCCATCAACTACTCTTACACAGCCTTTTTCAACCTTTGCCAAGAGAATGCTTTTGCAGTAAATCTACAGTACTCAGATGTACCTCTATTTTTTACGTGGGAATCAGAGAGGAAAACGTGGAAGCAACGAAAGGCTGTCTTTGAAGCTAAGGACTGGATGTTTCAAGATATTAACTCTACAACAGATACAATGGCTGGCATTCCGGTCCGGTTCTCTTATGTGGAGATTTTCAACAGATTTTGCAAGAAGTCAGATCTGGCACAAGAGCCGACATTGTCAACGCGTGCATTAAAAAGTCTTATTTGTGGCCAGATGTGAAAACACAGAACCTCACAACAAACATGCATGTTCACGTACATGGTGACTTTGAAGATGCCTCGTTCTCCAAATTATTATTGGAGATTGGAAACTGAAGTTGTTGAACCAGACAAAATCAGTGTTCTCGAACTTGGAAAAGTTTCTACTTCTATTGAAGACCTCATCAACCAAGTTTTTCCCCATTTTGCAGACAATAAACTCATTGACATGATGTCGTCTACACCCAAAGTCTATCAGTCTATAAATACTGCACTCAACCAGGACGATGCAACCCACTATCCAGTGGAATTCCTGAACTACATTGAACTGACCAACATTCCACCCCATGTTCTGAAATTAAAGACCGGTATGCTCGTAATGATCCTCCTCTCTCTTAACCCACCAAAATTAATGAATGGTACAAGATGTGTTGAAACACAAACCATGCCAAACGCCGTTGAGGTTGAAATTTTTTCTGGACTATACAAGAATGAAAGACACTGGATTCCTCGAATTATACTTCAACCAACCGACAGTGGATTACCTTTTATATTCCAACGAAAACAATTTCCCCTCAAACCATGCTTTGCCATCACAATTAATAAAGCTCAGGGACAGTCTCTTCGTACAGTTGGCCTAGATCTCACATGCACAGTATTTTCACATGGAATATTGTATGTAGCCATGCCCCGAACTGGAGATAAAGATGCTGTTCACATCTTGGCACCCAACAGTCAAACCAGGAATGTTGTATATCCAGAGGTTTTGGACAATATACATCAGTGTTAGGTGAGTTTCACTTTTGAAAATTCTTTCTTTTTTTCAGGTATAGAATAGAACCATCCAGTTTTAAACAAATAACTGTTTAAATTACTGCAGTATTGAGACTTTTATTTACATCGCAAACTTTAATTTTTGTCTTAAAAACATTATTTTTCCGCTCATAGAACGGGTACGCAGGCTAGTATACAAATAAGACAAAGAAATGTCCACAGTACAGAACAAGAAGTTATATACCGTGGCACATGTACTGATCTTCAGTGGGAACAACATATGACAAAACTGAAGTCATCGCATTACAAGGAGTCACATTTAATGTAAGTGGTTTAACAATAACTGTAGATGGATCTAGCTTGTAAACCAAATCCCTTCTAATCAGAGCTGCTCTCCGAGCACTACTTTTCTGGCTTGTGCACACGATGCATGAATCGTTTATGACACTAACTGATTGAACTTTGTCCTTGACAGAGGTAGGTTTTCTTGCAATAGGCATGCCAGTACTGATATTTGGATACAACTTCTCAGCCCTTACCTGTTTCAAGGTAAAAAAATTCCTTCATTTCACAGATCTACCTTATAGAAAAAGCTTCAGATCTGCGAGTCTGAGGGTATACTCGCAGGACACAAAAGGTCTCAGCTGGATTAAAATTATAGCGTGCACCATAGGCAAAAGTGTTAAAAGGAAACGTACAATAAAATGACATGTAATCAGTAATGAGCCTCGTGTAACTTTGTACACCTCCATCACTTACACTAAGAAAAACAAGCACATCATTTCCAGAATTGCAGCATGATCTAGTCACAATCATTATAAACATAATTATCATCTCCGACTCAACATTTCCACTTTTTCTTGTTCTTTTCTTCTTGTTTTGTGCTTCTTGAAATATAACAATTTGCACCATTTGAACACATTTTTACGTAACCTATAAATATCGGCACCAAAATCAGAACACACGCGGGGGAAACAAAAAGAAAAAGAGCACCTCCATCACAACGGTCTCTAAACCTCCAAATTCCAACAGAACATCATGTTCACACCTGTTAAACAGTCAGTTCCAAACTTGACCAACACATGAAAGTCCAAGATTCCAAGCCAGGGCCATATTATTTCGGTGTTCAGATTCACAAATTAAATGCTAATATTCTAAAAAGATTTACTACTAGGAGTCTAGTAGGGCGTACAACTTTAAAAATTACCGACATTAATCCCCCTCACCCCAGTTCCAACGCTGTACGCATTGCACTTAACTCGAATATTTTTTAAAAACAAACAAGTGAAAACATTTACTGCATCGGGTTGTAACAACTGAAGGAACTAAACACATTTCTGGGAGCACCATTATCAACAATCTTTATCATTACCAGGGCAGTCATTTTTCAAGACAATTTCCAAAATTCTCCTTCTCATCCTCCTTCCTCTACTCCCCTCCCCCATACACAAACATTCACTCACCCTTACCCATTCCCTAAAGGAATAAATATGGAATAAAAATCCAAAGAGATGGAGCACAAACCACAGCCCCTTGGAAAGTTTTAAAAAAGGTCCTGCTGAGTGGGTTATATCGGAGCCAACCCTGGCTGAGTGAATTGAAAGGAAGGGAAGTAGGGAAGGAGGGTAGGGGAGAACCCGTCAGATGAGGTCTTCTTCCAGGCTGGACAACAGCAGTAGCGAGTTCGTCAACTCGATCCTACAGAAGCTTCACGTTTCCTTCCTTGCTGATGCTACACAACTTCAGTGCTCTCAGGACCTGTGGAACACAAGGAGAAATGATAAGTGATTCTTCGTAGGTTATACACTGGAAGAAATTGACTGCGTGCTTTCACCAGCTTCTGTGATGCAAAATGTGTATACATGGCATCATCTTAACACATTAACGAAATTACGGGCTCATATGGCCTTATGTAATATAGTGTAAAGCGCATAGAGCCTGCTGCTGAGCGGGGATATGCGCTATACAAATGCTATCTATTATTATTATTATGTAGTTGCGAGCGCCGTAAAACTCTTACAGGAAAAAAAAAAAGAAGAAAAAACCACATCAAAGAAAAAGATACAGTCTAGCATGCACATAGCAAATGGACTGTGAGGTCCCCAATTTTCTCTTGTACATCATAAAATTGCTGTAACGCATCACTATGAAGTTTATAGAACTCAATGTTTGATTACAAACACTAATTGAGAAGCTCTTTTTTCACATTTTCCTTGGCCTCATATAGAGCTGATGTTTACATAAGAACCTCAAAAAAGCTTCTAAGCAATCTTAGATTTAAAAAGACAATGATACAAAATTACTAACAAATATAACTCTGTATAGAACAAATTTCTCACATCTGCAAGCCTTTTCAATTACAATGTAAGCATGAATAACAGTAATAATAGTACACATATTAACTTATTCCATTTTTTACGACTCAAAAGAGAATATCAATCCAGCCAATAATACGAAGTTAACACAAAATTGCTACAGAGTTCGTCTCACTCACCTTAACCTTTGCCACACCAGTGGCTCCGGTCACCCGCATGCCTTTGGCATTCATGTCCTTGGGGGTTAAAGCATCTCTGTAGCCACGGTGAAGACATACATAAGGGGGGGAGGGGAGAGAAGAATAACGAAGGAAAATATGAAAGTGTATCGCCTCTAACCTGAACCTGCTCTTGATGGTAATAAAAATGCTACTCGAACCACTCCTATCTACATCTTTAGCAAAACCATCGTTACACCAGTGTGTCTCCAATTAAAAAATTTTATTTTAAAAAAATTGTAAATCATTAAGCCTTATCCAGGCAAGTGATAATCCCACATAGCGTGTACACCTATATAACGTCATTATAACATCATATAAACACATAATTAATAACAGAAAATACAGCCTGGCACTTGGCTGAACTGCGTGCATCAGTTAAAACTTAGCTGAATGCGCAAGGAAACATAGTTCCGACGCACTGGTGTGACAAACACGTTTATTTCCATATTATCTTACTTCAACATGATATTGATGTCAAAACCTCCCGTTTTTTACACGGGTCTTACTAAATTTTCATAAAAACTTAATAAATTCTCTATGCTCACACTGCTAGTTCTGTCTCTCCTCTTCTGCAATGGCTTTTCACTCATCACCAAAGATAAGCTGGTTTAAATGAAGCAATGGAGGTGGCTAGGTGAAGCTGAAACTGAGGTTTTTTCAGACTGTTAGGGATGCATTTTTGGCTTATAATAAGCGCAGAGAGCTTGCTGTTGAGCGAGAATTGGCACTATTCAAATGCTATTCATTATTAATATTATTAGGACATTACTGCACATGACCCTATTGTTTGTCAGAAAGGCTGTGCAGAGATAAAGAAACAAGGACGAACTTGGTGAAATTCCCCTCGCAATTAGAGGGGAAAAAAAGAAAAAAAAAGGGAAGAAAAAGAATTTAGAAAGATGGCACAGAATTGTGATCTTTGAGAGAGGTCTTATGCAGATCGTTGTGTCAAGATTATTAGTTAAAAAACAGTCACTTCTTCAGATAACACAGCAGGAAAAATTTCTCAACTTACGTGTTGCCCTCTTCTTTGAAATGCTGCCACAGCAATCGGAAAGTCTGTCAGGGAACAAAAAGCAAGCAGAAACACTGAACTCGCAGAAAGTTTCAACAAGTACATCTAGGATATCCGCATTATTCCTAAAACAACAAATGTTACAGTACACACAGTAGAGCACATCTATAAAGTACTGACGGAAATAAAGAACCCATTACTTTGCCCTGCTTTTTTCTCTCTTTGTGTCATTTATATTTTGACGCATTTATAGAACATACGATAAAGAAATGACGGCTATAACTAACCAATTTTCTTGCCCAACAAGTCTTTTCCTTCTTATTAACGCCTGAAATAACGAACCAGCCCATCTCTATAACCTGACCAAACCAAGAGTTGCCCTACTGCCACGCGTCAGCCTACAGAGACATTGACACTAGTGTGCAAACATCAGCAGTGCTTTTCAAACATCTGTCATCCTTATTTATCCTCTTTCTTTTTCGTTTGTTACTCTCTTGTAACACCTCAAATCTTCCGCATTTATTTGATCTTATTGTGTTGCAAATGCTGTAACTCTTACTAAAACTGAAACTAAAACTAAAGATATGCTATAATGTGTGTCTATAGGGAAACTTTTCAAACAAATTTTCGTATATGGGGCTATTCCAAGGTAAAAGACAAGACATTTGGACAATACTTTCTTAGAATGATAACACTGTAATTCAATATCAATTAATTTAGTTCAACTCAAAAGGATCAGAACATTTGAAAAACATATAAAGAATCATATTAAATGAAATCATTAAAAAAAAATTCTGACGTGTTTTAGCTTTAGTAGAGGTTTTACAGCGCTCGCAACTGCATAAGGTCATATGAGCACCAGAAGATTAGAGGAGTTACAAGAGAGTCACAAACATAAAAAAGAAAAAGGGGAGATAATGACGAAAGATGTTAAATAGGAAAGAAGGCGCAAACCACACCAGAGCACCCGCCAACCACCCACTGTGACGTGTTTAGTTTCGGTAACTGACAGGACAAATCAGTAACCGTGGAATAGCCCTATATCTATTAGGAACAAAACTGAACCAGAACAACCAATCATGAGACCCTCGGCACAAGTACCTTATTAACCTCCTCCAGCTTGGAACGCCCCCGCACCAGCTCCGACACAGACATGAACTCTTTCTTGGTCAGTTCCACAAACTCTGGGTTGTCTGCCCTTAGATCGTAGGCCGATAGCTCTGGGCTCAGCTCTTCCTCTGACAACAGACAAGACATCGGTGAACTCAGAAAAGAAAATGTATCTTGTACAGATAATTGTCCATTGAATTATTGTTCAAATTCATAAGCAATCAGAACCGTCAGAGAGAGAGAAAGAGAGAGAGAGAGAGAGAGAGAGAGAGAGAGAGAGAGAGAGAGAGAGAGAAAGAGCGAGGGATAAAAAAGAGAGAGACAGGAAGATCTATTCAACATAGATGAATATTTTATTCATCAAAAGCAAGGCAAATGAATAGGCTGTAAGATGACACCAATAACCCTATTTGCCCCAAAATTGACCAGTGCCCGATTCCACAACACCGTGGAACAAATCGTAAAATAAACAAAGGAAGAGGAGAGAAAAACAAGGGGTCTCCAAACAGAGCATTCTAGTCTAAGCATACATCATGTAAATGTATACAATGTAAAAATGAACATGCTAAAAAACCACTTACTGCTTGCATCTGAACTTTCCGTCGATTCTGTGGCAGAGGAGGTGGATGCAGTCTTAGAAGGCACAGCCTGAGCATTTTCCGCTGCACCATGGCAGCTTTTTACATCTCCAGCGGGGGAGTCTGCATCGGAAGGAGGAAGAATTTCTTCTTTCGGAATGCCCAAGCGATCTGCGAGCTCTTCAAACTGACCCACAGTCGCTTCAGAAAGTTCCGGGCCACACTGGAACACGATAAGAAAGACCCAGAGATATGGGTAGAGAGCACAAAAATAGGATGAGGAAAATGACAGACAGATAGAATCAGAACAACAGGAACGATAAAATCTTAGGCTGTCCATGGATATCGGAGATGATTGAAGCCGTATGTATCATATAGCTTTGTCTGGGAAGTAGACAGAGAGTAAAGGAAGTAGACTGCCCAAGTACTACTCCCCCCCACTCCACATCTTTTTTTGTTTTTGGTAAAAGTCTTACGGCCCTCGCAACTACATAAGGTCATATGAGCGCGTGGGACACATTAAACATTTCCAGTAGGTAGGAAATTTTGAACTTTTGCCTGAGTGGCGACCGTAGCCTACTCTTATCAATTTTGGACCATCATGGGTTCTCTAACGTGCGCAACTTGCACACGAGACCTCCAAGAATTTTTGCCTTTAGCCAAGAAGGCTAGGTGTAGATCTTACGAACCAAAAGATCAGGGGTGTGGCTGAAAGACAGCAGAAAGAAGGAGCCAAAGAGCAGCAGTAGAAAGGCTGCGGAAAGAGTCAGGAGCCCAGAGAAGGCAAAGGTGATGAGCAGATGGGGGCAGAAAAGGGAGGCAAAAGCAGACGACAGAACATTGTTACAGAGCAGGAAAGGATGTAAAAGGATACAATTTTAGAGAAAAATAATTTCCGCCGCTATTCGGAAATTCGAACCCGGGACCTATTGAATGAGAGGCGAACACCTTCCACATCTTGACTTATTTGATGATATGCTACAAAGGAGAGACATGGTCAGTACCTTTGGAATCAAGGAAAGAGCAAGGGTTGTCTTGTCATACAATGTCTTATTGTTGCATTTTACAGATCAAAGTGACTATTCCCAGTGACACTGAGGATAGGTACAGAAACGATTCCCAGTGGCAACGGAACTCTTTTGCATTAAAAAAATCAAATGTCTTTGCCTTTGAATTTTCACTTTTCACTTCGAAACAAAATTACGATGAAGATGGAAGTGGGCAGCGGGCACGAAGTTCTCCTCCTTCAAAGAGTTTGAAGAGAAATTTGTAGCTTTTCAAAAGATCAAGATTCTAGGCCTAGAGTCAAGATCTAGATCTCTAGATGAGATTCTATTCTAACGTATAGGCCTACTGTAGACTCTTTTCACTTCAGTTCAGTACTTTTGTTCTCTTCTCTTACTAGGATAGACTTGATCGTAGATTTAGATCTAGACTCTAGATCTAGAAGAAAAAATCGGGAAGGATTTCCACCTGTCCTGTACCATGGTCTCCAAAATCCGTATTAGATCTTGATCTAGGCTAGGCCTACATGTACATCTAAATTACGACTGAATAACAACCAAGAATAGATTAGAATAATCATTCCTTTCTTTTTTAAAAATTCTTCCTCTCACACCAGAATCTACTTTAGTTTAGATCTAGTCTAGTATATGTAATTTAGTAACCCATCATCAACATGCCCATGTAGATCAGTGTGGGAACAATAGATCTAATGGGCCTGTCTGTTCTCTGTGTCACTGGGAATAGTTTCTTGGCCCATTCCCAGTGACACTGGGAACAATTCTGGCCTATTCCAAGAGGTTTCTGGGAATAGTGTTTTCCTTTACACATATATGTGACAGGAATAACATAATAGACAAAAGTTGTAAAGGAAAAATCCCAAATTCAAAACGTTCACAAAAAGCAAAATGTGAAAAAGAAAAAAAGAAAAAAGAAAAGCACACCAAAACAAACAAAAAACAACAAATAAAAAGAGCACACCAAAAAGAAATATTTAAAAATGGTGCACAGTAGTTTTGAGTTTTGAACAGATGAAGACAAACATTGTCTTATTCCAACACTGAAGTACGCCAACAAAAAAAAACACATCCTTAGCTCCACTTACTAGGACCATTGTGAAAAATACAAAAGAAAGACTTACACCGGTGTCGGTTTCCAACTTCCCCAACATCTGGGTCAGTGACAGCAGCTGAGTCCTGAAAAAATCTACAGCTTCCTGAAATTGGAAAACAAAACAAAAAAAATATAGAAAGTCATGTTACAAGAATTTGATTCATTTTTTGAAAGTTTTAGTACCAGTTTTACGGCACTTGCAACACAATAAGGTCATATAAGCGCCAAAGATTAGAGGTGTTACAAGAGAGTAACAAACACAAAAAAAGGAGATGGGGGGATAAAGACAATAGATGTTTTGACAGGAAAGAAGAAGCAAACCACACCAGAGCACCCGCCAACCACCCACAATTCGATTCTGAAACTGTCTTGTTTCCATTGCAAAACAAAACAAGTGAGGATACTAACCACATAAAAATAATTCATTGGTTTAAGACAGACAGTTGGGTCGAATTGAGTAGTAGTTAAAGGGCAAATCAGCAAAATACAGGACAAATTTTGCCATTAAGCAGAAAAGGACTGTATAAACACTAGAAAGTTAAATATTGTGAAAAAAGCAAATAAGAGCTCCCAAAACTGACATGAGGCATAGCTAAAATGTCGATGACATGAAAACAATGTAAAGGCAATGTTTCTAATGCAGAGAATGAAAAACAAAACATGAAAAAAAATAGTTGGACATAAGTAGACAACAATATCATTTTTTGACTAGTCATATGATTAGAGACAGTCGGAAGACAGACAGAGAAGAGGAAGGGACAGAGCCAAAGTCTACTCATTTTGCTGGAAATCTACTATGCACTACACTTATAGAAAATTAAAGTATCCAGCACCTATGGTAAGAGTTTCCCATTTGTTATTTCGAAATGTTGGTTTTTAAAATGTGGTAGTGTTGTGTTCCGTAACACATACCTTCTGAGCTGTCTGTATTTCTGAGACATCTTGAACTAGCGAGGCAAATTCTGTTTTCACTCCTTCCAACTTTCTCATGAGCTTCACAGGGTTGTGCTGTCAAAAAAAAAGTAGTGCTTAACACTAAAGACTTATATTACACTGCGAAAAGGCATGAACGAAGAAACTGGGCAAAACTCTTTTCCTAGATCAGAGCTGCTACGCCTAATGCATAAAAGAAAAAATAGGGGCCTAGAATATATATTTGTACTTTAAAAGGCCAAATTATCATCACATCAACTGACAGTCTGGTTAAAACAATAAATTAATATCTAAACATATTCATCACTATTATTTCACTGTAGGGAAAAGCAAAAACTTACAAAAAGTTTAACCTTTTCACAATCCAGCTATACTTTTAAGTATTTAAATGTAGTTCCAGGCCTCAAAATATTCAGCATGAACAGATAAAACTGTAAAACTATTTCATTCATAGCACAGAAAAAAGTAAAGTGGTCACATATAAAACTCTCTCCAAGCTGAATGAATTTAATGAAGATAAGAAAAGAGAACCTTAAACTAAAAGAAATATATCGACAGCTGATCGCAAGAAGTGACTATATATCCACTTTTCAGTTTTGAGAAAAATAAGTTAGAAATTTTGACAATTTTGAAATCTCTATAATTATTACATTGTCATTCAAATAAGCTATGGCTTAGATATTTACAGAGATAGAAGAGCAACTTAAAATCTCGCTACCCATATCGATTAACACTTTGCTGTCACTTGGCGCAATAATGCGCAGGTGAAAATTATCTGTTCTGATCACCAGGCGCAGTTCTGTGCCAGGCCGGATATATGTCTGTTGCGACTCCCAGATGGGGTATTTTGTACTGCTTTGCCCAGTTTCTTCATTCTGCAAAGTGTTCAGTTCCATTTCGACCAAAAGTGGATATAGTAGTCACTTCTTGCACTCATCCATCGATATGTCACAGACCCTATTCAAAGCTAGGAAAATAATCAAAAACAAACCTTCGCATTAAGTCCTTTCTCATTTTCCACCTGGAACTCTAGTTTTCGAGACAGGTAATTTAAGTCTGCTTCTGCTTTGTTAAACTGAAAGTAAATTTCGAAACAGCTTTCAATCAACAGTCGATTAATCATTGATATAATAGCAATCATTAACGACCTGCAATTATACAAGAGGCTGAAAACTGGAAAAGCTGAGTTCTAGTTAAAGAGAAGTGTATCAACCATGGGAAAAAGCAATAAAGACAGAGCCAACAACAGGTTGTCAGTAAGAAAAGAGGACTTGCTAGTGGAAGATTTTACAGTTGATGCAGAAGCTGTTGATGAATGTCTTTACGGAGTATGCAAAATCTAGTTCAAACAGACACACAGTAGAACTCATTTCGAGTTTGATGAGTAAATATATTAGTGAAACTTTCTACTTCACACAGTCCCAGATAGAAGCTTTTCTTAGCATTATAACATGGTGCTATTAACCTTTTGTGTGAGTAAAGAGAGGCACATGATCGACACAATAATGGTCATTCAGTAGTGCTAATGGCCTAAAATGTTTGAAAAATTAAAAGAATTTAGATCTAGAAGCAAACATACTGCATGATAAACTTGAATAAATAAAATTATGAAGTACCGAAAAAGGCTTTCAATTATGATAGAAAGTCTAGTTTAGTATGATGTCAACCTCATACCGACTGAAACTACAATACCACACCTGCAAAATATTCAAATCAATCTCACCACATGGATTCAGGAATTCAGCGACTAACAATTTTTAAGTAAAAAAGGAAGTTAACAGCTTATTTATATGGCTTACACTGCTAGAATATAATCAGGTCTTTTCTTAAACTCACCATAGATTCCAAGTTGTCCACAGCCTTTTCCATAGCGACAGCCTTTTCCATTGTGACAGTTCTGAATGAAGGATGATCAAATATAGAAATAAAGTAAAATTTAAGATAAATTATCGGTCGACCCTTACCTTCTTCTCCGTTAGTGTATGATTCTAAGTAAATAAAGTTGGATTCTTAACAGCCTCTATATTTATGCGCAGTTATACGCCTTACTTTTAAAAAGTACAGTGGTCTTCGGCTAATGGCATCATGAACCTTAGGTGAAAAGAAAAGCATGCCCTATGCGAATGATGAGCTGCAAAACATAAATGAGCAAACTGGGTTTCATCAAAGTCCCTTACAAGGCGAACAGCCCCACTGATGTGACTTTACTTTGCACATTTTCTCCAGCAACAAACCATCCTCTATTCCCAGAGACTATCGATCGCACTTGCACCACATCAAAGATACACATGCGTCATAGACATAATTATTCAACTCCGCCTACCCCCCACCCCCCCAGCTACGGTATAATAAAAGGCTAGCTTAGAAGACATAGAAGATAAATGAATTGTATGCTGATTTTTTAAAAATCTAAACAAACATGATTGCCATGGTAGGCCATTGTAACACCTCTTGTTGCCCACAATTAATTGAATGAACACTTGGATTCATGATTCAACTAAACTGAAGGTCAGGCCAAACAACTTTACTTGTACTTTGTTTAATCATTACATCCGAATTTCACAGTACACAGTGAAGTTTATTGTATTATGGTAGAAATCAACAATTAGGCCTATTTCATAAACTAATAATTTGCAACATGATATTAAACTTACTTTAAGTAAGTCTGAGTAATATTCAATTTCATACAAAATGAACTTACAAGAAAATCTTAGAAAAGTCTACACCTTGCCTTACGTTACCAAGCAACTGGAGTGAAAGTAAAATAATCAATATCAAAATCTGGGGGGTCACACGGGAGGCATGCCCCATTTTTTCTCCTATAATATAAACTGTTTTTTTTTCAATTGGTAAGGCCTAATTTATGAGCCTTTTTATTAGTATTTACATTTTTGAAATTTTCTTGAAAATCATTTTTGATTAGCGATGCCAACAATGACCTCTTGAATCTCTCTCTATATTATGGACAAGAACTAGATCTTTAGTTTTAGTGATTTAATGTAGGCCGGTGCAAGCCGCTCGATCTAAACGAATTCTGTCTCGATTAGCCTGACGCTACTGGCCCATGGGGATTTCAGCAACTCAGGTGGCTAGCCTTTTACTTTTTCTACCCACCCAGAGCTGGTCACCCTATAGCCTTCTATCTAGTACTAGATCTAGGCAAGGTAAACACGGCCTCACAGCCTTCCGAGTGACAGGAAGCTATAGAGACCACCTAGCGTCCTAGCCGAGCACACCTCAGCCTCAGTGATTGGCCCAAATATAGATAGAGGACATATTTCGGCGCTTTTTCAGAAGTTCCCACCCAGCAATTGTTATTCACCGGTTTTGGCCCCAAGAGTAGGGGGGTTTCAGGGGGGACTCTAACAAAAGTATGGTGGGGGGGTTTCAGGTGGGGGGAGGGGGGGGGGCATGGGGCCTGAATTTACACATAATTTGATGTTTTGCAGTTGTTAGGTTTGATATCTTAGCTCGCCCCGCATCAAACGTACAGATCTTGATGTAGATCTAGGCTCAAATAAGGGGGGTGGGAACTACAGAAAAGGCACCCATATTTCCATATATATATTACTTGTAGGCTTCCGGGGTTTCTCTCACAATCACAAGTTGACCAGGCCAGAACAAAAATGATCTATCACCCTTTAAATCATTTTTCATTGCAGAATCGCAGTGCTGGTGACAAAGTTACTAAAAATAGAAATGCAGTTTTTGTGATGTTATCAAAGATTCTCTACAACCAAGATGTTTCAATTGCCCTCTTGTCCGGGCCGAAACTTGCTTAGCGCATGACGGCTGGTGATAAGTGATAGATAAAAATAAAGGCCCTACAACTTTACAAGTCTACAAGTGTAAACAAACATTCCAGCGCTGAGTTGAAAGCGAGCATTTCGTCTGCGGGCAGAGAAAGAGAGAGAGGGGGGGGGGGAGAGAAAGAAAGAGAGAGAGAACACGAGAAGCGGCTTCCGTCCGGCTAATTGACTGAATTTGTTCGTGTACGTATAAGACGACTTGGTTTGAACCCCCACTCCCAAAAGAAGATTTCTGCAAGCAAAAATAAAGGCTTTACTTATTCCCAGTGCCAATAGTACAAAAATAGCTTTTTCCCGGAATTTGCCTATTGTTGTTGTGGGCCGTGGGACGACAGCTGACTACTGACTGTACTGTTACGTGGTCTGGTATCTCGTACTCTAGAAGTCTAGATCTAGATTCTATATCTAGATCTAGATTCTAGAAGATGTAGAATGTAGATCTAGATCTAGATATCTAGATTTTTAGATTCTTGTCTTAGGAGAAAGATGAATGATAAATCTGTTCCGTGAATAGTGAATGTTATAACAGAGTACCTTAAACACTTTCCCAATGAACAGCCCTTGAATGTACTGTTTTGTATACAGTAGGGAACCTATAATGCTGACGTATTTTTATGAGATGTCCATGATCAGCAGTAGCCTATGCTGACGTATGTCATCATAGCGCCATTTAGTGGTTTGCAAAATTGAAAGTTCTATGTTTACTTCCGGTTTCTTTCTGGTTTACAAATGAAAGCAGAGTTATCTGCACAGAAAATTCGCCAATCAAATGACGACATCTATCATTAAGCTGCTCCTTTTATCAACTTCCGTTTGCCATAAAACGATGCTTGATTGGTCCAGCTCATCATTGTTAGAAAATGTCTTCTGCTGGAAACATGCTAGCCGGTGTTATTGTTGGGCTTTTTGCCCTACTTCACCTGATTCGAGGTGAAATTATCCAGGGCTCCGTTTCTCTTAATTCAGGAGTGTTTGACAAGGTACTTTCTTTCAGCTTTTGCAGCAAAAATGTTCTATATTCCACCATATGGTAAAATATTGTCCAGTACACCTGCTTCAAATCATTGGCAATGTAATGTGTGAATCGCATGTGAATTGTGCATTGATTGGACAGAAGGCAGGCCATTTGTCTTTGTTGTAAAATAATTTAGTGTTATTTTAAAATTGTATAGAGAGCCCCCCCCCTACCAACAGTAGTTTTATAGCCTACACGTGAGGGCTTGATTGAACTTTGGTGGACCCACTGTGTCTACATGTTTTTAGTTAATCATTATAATGTGCACTAGAATTCTAGCCATACAACAGTGGGCCAGTGGAGGGTTTAAGGACAAGCGGAGCTAGAGAACGACTAGATCTATCTAAAGTCTAAACACCATTGGCCGTAGTGATGTCATTGAGGGATTCCCACTTTGTCAGTCATGGTGGTAACACGACCGCATGACGGCAGTGCAGGCGAGTCATTTGGCTATTCTCACCCGATGGGCGTTCACCGTATAGCCTCTAGGCCAACCAAAGATGGAAGCTTGGAAACTGCCAGCAAAGATTCTCTAGTGTAGTAGTACACGATCTTTGCTGCCAGTGCAAACCGCGCAACGCAAAATCATCACTATTTTTAGAATCTTGATCAGATGAAGCGACGGGCATCCCCCTTGCGAGGTCAAAGGAGAATTTAAGGCTGTTAATTATATTGGCCAATGGCATTTCATTATCGTTGCACCATCTAGCTGTTTGATTGCTTGTAGTTTCAGGGGGGGCCCTGGCAACAATATGATTATTTAAAAAACACACAAAATGCAACAATAACATAAGAGCGGACCATTGCACTGCGAGGCTCAAAAATAGTTCCGGCTTCATTCAGTGTTGGGTCTACCATAAGTTCATATTATACCTTACCCACATGAGTGATGTAGGTATCACTTTGTTGCATTAAACTTCAACATTTAAATGCATATTTTACACTTTAATGTAGTGGATCTCCCCTCGACGCTTAACGGCAACAGAGGATGAAAAAGTAAAGTAAGTATGTAGTGGAGGCCACTAAATTGTAAGAGCATGAATTATTGCTGTTACCTAAGCCAAAGTATTAAATTGTTATGGTCAAAGTTGCTTTCTTTAAGTAATGTTTGTATACTGCACAGTGGTGTCTACCAACAGCAAACCCTTGGCTTTGGGTGGGAAACAGGCAAAGAGGCATAGGTTGCTCAAGACTCAAGTCTTAGAATTTGTCTTTTTATGCAACACAATATTGCGTGGCATGCAGCTCTTTCCTCTCCAACATCAAACAAGGAAGACTGTAAATAAAGACATGATGTAGAAATAAAGTAACCTGTCTCCGTACACGCGATGCAACGTCTAGCCGAGGGGGGCCGTCACCTGAGATGGATCCATGATGCGATCGAGACTCATCACGTGCGACAGACTGGGGGTGTAACAGGTTTAAAGCATCACCATTGGTCCAAATTCCTAGCTATGAAGTGCCGGTCAACATGCTGAGTCTGTGGTGTGTGATGTGGTCGCACATTTTAAAAAGTATAGCCTACACAACTCACCCAACCGTCCTCTCACACACACACACTCGAGCACACCTACTCATGCACATTCACTTACTAGTCCTAATTTCAAGGTATGGCGATGTTAATGTTACATCAGAAAGTGACAACTTACGCGGCTTCAGTAACTAGTAAATCTCAAGTAGTTTTCTCAAGTTTTCACCAGATCTATTTTTTCTTTCAAGTGAGTAGATGCTGGTTTGTTGGGTGTTATGTGCACAGTGACTGAGACTCTCCTCCCCCCCCCCCCCCCCTTCCCCCCCTCCCTCAGCCAAGAGATTCGTGAAAGAAGGTGGTAGCTTTTGGCAAGAAGACGTGATGAGCTAATCTCATGTACTCAACACAGTGTATTTTTGGCCTAACAGGTGTGGTGAGGAGATCAGGTAGAGTTCGAAGGGGGATGTGCACACTCTGAAATTAAATGCCAGTCTCTACATTATATGTTAACTCACAGTTCTCAAATTTAAAATAATAAAATTTCCCACTATTTATGGTATTGAAGGTTGCCAGGGGGGCTATTTATATGCATGTGTATAAGAAAATTCCACACACCCTATAAAACCTGTATTTTATTGTGCATATATATATATAGTAGTCTCAAACTTGCCTAGTGGGTGGTTGGTGGGTGCTCTGGTGTGGTTTGCTTCTTCTTTCCTATCAAACATCTATTGTCTTTTTCTCCCCTCCTTCTTTTTTGTGTTTGTTACTCTCTTGTAACACCTCTAATCTTCGGCACTTATATGACCTTATTGTGTTACAAGTGCCATAAAATACTTACTAAAAAAAAACTTGCCTAGACTCGTCTTTTATTCTTCCCCTCTAACTGTAACTAATTATTGTTCTAATGTGTTTTCCCAGGTGATTGAAAAACATCAGGCTGTCTTAGTGAAATTTGATGAGACATATCCTTATGGGAAAAAGCAAGATATTTTTAAGGAAGTGGCAAAAGCCAGTTTGAAGCAGCCAAATCTACTTATTGCTGAGGTTCAAGTTGCTGGTGAGTGCTTGAAGCTAATTGTTAATTGCTGCTTTAGGGTCTTGACAGAAAATTAAGCTTTTTCCTTTTTATACACAATTAAAAAAGGTAACATCATTTTCCAGAGGAAATCATTGTCTTTACTCAGACTTCCAGCTGTAGAGACCTTTTACTCATGGCAGAGATAGGGGTCAAGGACAGGGTACTGATCTACTTTAAAAAATGCTCCTCTGTCACTTTGAAAAGGATTTCTTTTCACTCATGAAACATCTTGATCTACATCGGTATGTTTGTGTCAATATGACTACAGAAGTGTATATTTTAATTAATACACCAAGCTAACATCTGGCACTTGTAGGCTATATGAACATAATACTCATAAAGAAAGCCAGTATATTCTTATTTTCCCATGTTCAGTCATGGATACTTTTTTTTGCACCTCTTTCTCGATAATGTTTGCACTCCAGGTATTGATAAGAGTCATTAAAACAAGAAGAAGCAAAATGTCGGGAAGTGTGCTTGCAAACGACTTTGGTGTAAAAAAAAAAAATTCTGTGATTTCTTGGGACTTAACTCTTTTTTTCTTTAGGAATACTGGTCCTTACAATTCTTGTTTCTTTTTTTCTTTTAAATCAGCGTTATGTTAAATTTACTCAGCAGTTTAAAATTCATGTTTCTGTTATAGACTGACACAACTTTCTTTCCAATGACCCTCTTAACTTGCTAGCCAGTTCTTTCCAGTTTGACGTCTCATTCCCCCAAGTGGGCACACTGTTGTTAGCTCAATTGGTGTCATGCTAGACTACGGAATGGATGACCCTGGTTTGAATCCCCAATGGGGCGTTCTGAACATGGGTGTATTTAGAGAGTGTTTAAGGCTCAACACCGCCCATTTGGTTCGGTCCTATTTGATATGGACATTAAATTTGGAGCTCACAACTTACAATGTTGAAAGAGGCGTTAAATCTATACTTGTGTACAATGATCAATGACCACTCATCCCCCTAATGAACGTTTAGTTTTGCTGTTTGTCTTTGGCCTTTACAATGATCAATGAGCAGTCATTTCCTGAATGAAAATGTTGTCATTTTTGTTGTTAAATCTCTACAATGATCAATGATCACTCATTCCCCCAATGAACATTTAGTGTTGCTGTTTGTTGCCAAATCTCTATCATGATGAATGAGCAGTCAGTCCTCTAATGAACATTCGGTGTTGTGGTTTGTTGTTTGAGGTAGGGGTCAAATCTGCCTGTGCAGTAGAATTACTGTAGAAAGATTGTCTTATCTCAACGTGTACTTTTGTTCTATTCGTTTCAGACTATGGTGACAAAGATAATTCAGACCTGGCCGAAAGGTTTGGAATAAAAAAGGAAGATTTCCCTGCCTACAGATTGTTCATCAAGGGAAATTCGAAAGACCAGATCAAATATACAGGCAACTCTGAGGATGAGGGTGCTATCAAAACATTCGTTATGCGGGAGTCTGGTAGGTTTTCAGACTGACCTAAGCAATGTCTACATGTCTCTCTAGTCTTAGTTCTTAGATATTACCTTTTTTCATTCCGCTTTTTTCTGCGAGTGGTTGGAAGTCGCCACTGGTAGGTCATCCTTTTTTTTTCTTTTACTTTGTTGTTTCTGTCTGTCTATCCGTTTAACTCTTTCCCTGACCGATATTGTGTTGATGCGCACCTCTTAATACGAACAAACAAACGCAAGATCATTTTTCAGATTGGCATATATGTTTTTTTAAAAACCCAATAGAATCAGAAAGAAGAAACATGGCTTCTCTGTTGGTCAATCTTCAACAGGAGAATCTTATAACAAAGCTTTTTTTACTCAGCTTGTTAGATTTGGGTGCCAATTTCAATCTACTTTTGTGTCTAGACAATGTACTCTGATGTTTCTGTTCTACTTGATGCTCTGCCACTTGACCAGTCTAAATACCGTTCCACTGTTTTGGGGTTGTTGTTTTTTTAATATAGTCTACTTTCAGAATGATATGTCTCTTGCAACAGAGAGAGATCCTTGGACAATACATGATTTATGTATCATTCCTTTGGAAGAATTCTTCGACGGAGGACAAACTCGTGCGAAAACTATTTTTATGAATTGTTTTGGCCGTTACGTTTTATGTTCTCTGCGTGTGAATGTGTGACAATCCATGCAGGTCTGTATGGTTCAGTTTCTTACTTCCGCTTTCCCCCCGCACAGGTCTGTATATCGGTCGTCCTGGCTGTCTGGAGGAGTTTGACAGACTTGTCAAGGAGTTTTATGGGGACGCCGACAAGAGAGACGCCGTTTTGAAGAAGGCTGAGGCGGCTGCGGAGAAGTTGAATTCTGACGAGGAAAAGGCGTCTGCAGATATGTACATAAAGACCATGAGAAAGATTATAGAGAAGGGAGACAATTTTGTCGAGTCTGAAGTCACTAGAGTGGAAAAACTCCGCTCTGGCAAAGTTAGTGATAAAAAGAAAGAGCAGCTGGGCGATCGGCTCAATGTCCTTAGCACTTTCCAAATACGTTTGAAGGATGAACTTTGAGATATTTATACTCAACTTGTTGCTTTTTTTTTTTCTTTTACATAATGTGTTTCTGGTCATATCCTTGGGTGAATGAAGATTTTTCATCTTTGTGTGTCTGTGTGTTTTGGGGGTTTGTTTCAAACAGAATAGCCAAGGAAAGAATATATATATGCAAGGACAGCTGGTTTGAATGAATTCCATATATCTTATGATGGTCCCCTTATATTCAAAGTATTTTGAATTACTCTTTGGATGGTGGATTTACAGGGAGGATGACTTCTGAGCAACAGATTATTTTGACTGGTTGAAAATGGCTCAAAGTCAGGGATGTTATTAACAAGGTAACTCTTAAAAAAACAAATCTGCACATATCATGTTGCAGAATTTTGGGAAATAAATGACGTGTAAGAAAATGTAAGGGCAAATTGTATTATTTACTCTCAAATATGCTGTAAAATGAGAAATTGTTTAGATCTACCTATAAACACATCGATTTTTCATTAGAAATTTACAAGAAAGACAATTTTCAAATCGGTTTTTTTGTTGTTGAAAAAACATGTCACTTCTAGCACATTTTGATTCTGTACAAAAATAGAATGGTAAATCGTTTAGAGAAAGATTCCCAAACTTTACGGTTAAGTGTCTCGAGTCTCTTCGGACAGGGAGTATCAGAGGTACAGTTACAGCTTGCCAGTCGTGGCTCAGACGGAACGATGCCACCCAAAGAAAGAGTCAGTATGGAATATGAGATGGTACTAATTCATGAACAGCTTCTTCAGCTGTCGTAAGACTTGACTACAGTTATTTTTTTGTTATGATTGTTATTTTGAGTTGTGAACTTACAAGTACAAGCTATGGGACTTTGTGCCGTGCTGCATGGAATTCCTTTGGAGTATCTGTCTTTAAACAGGGTTTTTTTTCTCATATGGAAAAATTTGTACAGTAAAGGGCCTCTCAAGGCCTAGAGGTTAAGGTGTTCTCCTCTCATTCAAAGGTCCTGGGTTCGAATCCGGGTAGTGACGGAAAAATGTTCTCTAAAATTGTCTCCTTTCACATCCTTTTCTGCTCTCTAGCTATATTCTGTCGTCTGCTTTCGTCTCCACTTTCTGCCCCCACCCCTCACCTCCTTTGCCCCCTCCTCTGGGCTCCTGACTCTTTCTGCACCTTTTCAACTGCTTCTCCTTGGCTCCTTTTTACTGTTGTCTTTCAGCCACACCCCTAATCTTCTGGTAGGAAAGATCTACACCTAGCCTTCTCGGACACGGGCGAAAAATCTCGGAGGTCCCGTTTGCAAGTTGCGCACATTAAAGATCCAAAATCTTTTGGTGGTCCAAAATCGATAAGAGTAGGCTTCGGCCGCCACTCGGGCAAAATTCAAAATTTCCTCCTAACTGAAAATGTTTGGTCTGTCCCACGCGCTCATATGACCTTAAAACGCTTACCAAAACAAACAAATGTACAGTAATGAAAAATAATGTTATTATATGAAATACTTCAGTTCCGTTTGGCTCTGTTACAAAGTTATAGTTTAAGTGCTCAATGTTCTTCTACTGAATGCAAAGCATAAAGTCTGCAGCAAGCCTGTATTCCCAATGTTCAAGTATTAGTGCCTATACAAGCATACTTTATCCAAAAGTCCGGACGGGCACCTCAGAAGGGTTAGTATTTTAATATATTTATTAGCATAATTTTCACTTGTATTTTTGTATTTGTTTTGTTTTATTTTTTTGTCTGGCTAGCTGTGTCAGGCAAGTGTTTATATGACTTTCAGGGGCCTTGAACTTGACTTTGTACACCACTATGACCGTAGGCTTCATAATTGTCTTCTTGAGATGGAAAATTCAACCTTTCCTCTTTCACAAAAACTTGTAATGGTCACATTTCCAGAGATATATTGCCAACATGACAGCACTTTTCGTTCCGAAAATCTGTTCTTATCACTTTTTACTTGTGTCCTCCTTATGATGTAAACTTTGGACAAACCTGTCAAATATTGTTTTGTAATACAAGATGAGTTCTTTTTTTTAAAATTATAAGTTTGATGAAATCAATGAGCAGATATGTCAAAATGTTTCACAAATAAGAGTCACCAATCTGCAAAATTATACAGCTAGCTCTGTATAAGCATTCTGTTGTAGAGCACTGTCACTGGTGTAATAATGTAATGTCTGGGGAAGGTTATTCTCCCTTTGGACACGTGATCTACTGCCTTCCTAGAAGATATGATAGGCTACTCAGTCTTCTGCAGCCAAACCTATGCCAGAAATGAAAAGGATGATTCATACCCTGTAGTCTACTTAAATGAGAGTATACAGCATTTGTTCAATTTTTAAAAATTCAAATTGATGCTGGCGAGGCTATCTTGCAGCACAGGTTTGATTGCATAAAGACATTATGGCAGTTTTACCAATTTTGAGCAAAGACCAGAGACAACAACTTTCCCCTCCGGTACATTCCAGTCAACACAAGCTTGATGGTCTGGTGTTTTAGCTTGAAGTTATGCCATTGTTACACAAATCATGAGAGTTGAGGTCAAGAAATGTCTTTTGATGGGTTGAATTCTGCTGTCATTCGTAGCTTCCAAAATTTATTAATTTTTTAATGCTCTTTCATTTATTATTTTGACATGCATTCATGGTTCAGTTTTGTATTTTTGGTCTTCAGGATTGATGTACACAATTTTTAAGGCAATAAAATTGTTTTTATTTAAACTTCATTAGCTTTTCTTGCATTTTCACTTTTTTTTTTTTTTTTTAGCAAAGCGAAAGGTCTTTACAAAATCAACCTTCCATTGTCGTATCTTTTTATTTTATTACCAACAACCCATTTCCAGCAACCATCACCCATCACTGAATATCATGTATTTTTCTGAAGTAAAGACTTCGAGCTGTCCTATTAGAAAGATCTACACCTAGCCTCCTAGTCCTCGGACAAGGGCGAAAAATCTTGGAGGTCCGATGTGCAAGTTGCCCACGTTTAAGATCTCTTAGTGGTCTAAAATCGATAAGAGTAGGCTTCGGCTGCCACCCGAGCAAAATTCAAAAATTTCCTAGCAACTGAAAATATTTAATGTGTCCCGCACGCTCATATGAATATGACCGTATGCAGTTGAGAGCGCCGTAAAACGGAAGAAAAAGTTGTCATTAGACTGAAATCAGAAAATTACCCAGTACAAAATGTGTGCATTCCTGGAGAAATCAGGCACTCATCAAAATAATGAAATGGAAAAAATCAAGTGCCGAATTCCTCCAAAATTTTAGTTGACATCAGATGACCCCCCACCTCCTCCAAAGTTCATTCTCAAATATCTCGGCTTCTATTCCAAATTTATGGATATTTCTTTCATCAAAAGCAAGACAAAAGAACGAGATTTAAGATGATTCCAACATCAGTATGCCCAAAATTGACAAACGCCTGATTCCAACGAGTCATGACACAAATATACCGGTAATTAATTTTTATAGAATTTGGATCGGTATCATTGTTTCTTCCATTATTTTTTTGTGTTATTTCAAACATGTAAATTGCCGCTTTTAAAACTTAAGTTCTACAATATATTTTTACAAATATTTCTGCCATTTTAACTTTAAAAGTAAAACTAAACCTTGCTTGAACTAAAGTAAAAACGACCAACTAGAGTCCTGCATGCAGTTGCGGGTGCCATAAAATTCTTACCAGACTACCAAAATTTGGCCAATATTTTAAAAAACATTTTGGGCTGAGATTTTAAAGTTCCTGAAGAAACTTCAAAGGAACCACACCGTTTTGGCCTGCCAGTCATTTGTCTTTAGTGATCGTCCCAACCCTATTTGCACACATAATGAAACACAAGACAGAATTATAGTACACCATTTATACAGTTTATTTTACATCATAGCAAAATAGACAAGATTTTATCGGAGACTTTAAAAAGTAGGTTGTCTGCAAGTTCTTGAGTTGTAAAAAATATATTTGGCAACCCACAGAAGGCAAAAAATGATGAAACAAAAGGTACATGCTATCGAATAAACCGAAGAGAAATTGATTTTCATGCCACAGACAAGGCCAAGGAAAAATAGGGAGCGATTTGATGTTCACAAATACTGCCTGCAAAAGATTTATATCTAATTCAAATTAGATGAGCACCATTTTTTAACTTACGACCATCCTTCAAACAAATATATGATAAGATTTCATCATTTCCCACAAGCAAAAGCCATAAAGGCAAAGTGTTGAACAACTTCCCCATGATGAAACTTTGGATAGGAAAATAAATCATTCTATCAGACAGCGAACAGCATTAGGCTACCCTAGAATTACAAAGTTCTATCAACTCAGAACTTGTGCCTAGTTTTGAACAATTTGATATTAAAAATTTTGAGCTTCACAACATGTCAAGCCTTTTCAAATGCAATTCTTTGAATATCATGATAACAACTCCTAATAATCTTACGATTTTGATAGAGCAGATTGAACATTTTATTTCTGACCTCAAGGTCTCAGTAACTCAAAATGGCCCAAAATGTAAATGGAACTTTTTTTTTTAATAGAGGGTTTTACTGCGCTCGCAACTGCATAAGGTCATATGAACGCCAAGGGGTGGGTGTCAACAGAGAAGTCTTTACAGGGAATCAGATTTAGACTGCTCACCTCTCTAGCTTCAACAGCACAAGGTCTTCTTTGACAATCACGGCACCCCAAAATAGTAGGTCACAAGAGAGTGACAAACATACAAAAGAAGTAGAGGAAAATGACAATGGTAATAGTAAGGATCAGGAAAGAAAAAGCAGCAGTTCCCTGTTGTAGATCAGGCAAAGTGATGAGCGAGACATGAGTCAGCCCATTTACAATTCGACTACAGTGGAGTCCACTTATAATTATAATGAGTCCGGAAAAAACGAGAAGTCTGTTATAAAGTAAAGACAATATTCTAAAACCCCGTTTTTTTCTCTTCTTTACCTTTGTAACTAAAATACTGCTATAGCGCTATCAGACAAACATGCCAGTCAGTTATAGCGGAATATTGTTGCTGCTGTGCACAGTGCATAGACCAATGATACATAATGTAAAACCTCCCCAGTTGAGAAACGTGTTGGTGATCTAGCGAGACAAAAAATGGGAGAGCCCATGTGTGTCAACAATTAAGGCCGGTGCGACTGAGTAGGGAGGGTGTGGCATGCACAGACAAGCAGAACGCATTGCGAGATAGGCCAGCGTAAGCCTAGTTTAGATTAATATTAAGGCCTACCATGCCTCTCACTTCTCCGATGTGGGGATGGAGAGGTCACAGTGCTGTGATGGTTGGAGCGAATGTGTGACGTGCGCAAGCAGACGGAATGCACCACAGGGTGTAGTGGGGTGGGGGAAAACACAGCGGGCGAGTTAGCCTAGAGCCCTTTCTTTCTGATCGACAACGCCGAGCTGTCAACATCGCTAGCGCTAGAGAAAGAAACCTGATTCGATTTTTGATCAAGTAAGACCTAGAGGTCATGTTGGGCAAAATCATAGGGGAGATAGCAAAAAGAACTAAACAAAACACCAAACTCATAGATTAGGCCTACTTTATTATTTCCCTTGAATTTATTATTGGATCCCTCATAGCGAGAATCCTGCTATAACGGACATTTTGCACCGGTCCCCTCCCTCTCGTTATAACAGGATTCCACTGTATGCTTGAACAAGAAATGTCCCCCCTTTGGGAATGGCCTAAAGACACTTCAGTCAGTGGCACTGCCGCGGGGGGGTAAATGGAACTTTGTAATTCTAAGGCAGCGATTATATAACAGACCAGCACAATGCTGCCCAACAGCAACACATGAGAGAAACATTAAAGATTAATGTGGAACAGCAACTAAAAAGTTCCTTGGAAGAAATAATTCTAAAAAAGAAACAGTGGAAATGCACACATCCAAACTCTCATTCCATCCAGCTCCTACCATTCAGTGTTCCTCTCCTGACATCTACACACAACTTACTACTATCTGCTCATACTCATATAGAGTCCCAGAATTTTCCAAAGAAGAAAGTCACTCCTGGCTCACATAAACAACTTACACGCAATTCCTAAAATTGTGACTGACTGACAACTCATTCTGATAAAGCATCTACCAACCCCCCCCCCCCCCCCCCCAAAAAAGGTCCGAAAAAAAACCCAAAACAAACAACAACCAGTCAATGCTGCCAAGTAAGTTCGTCTAAGCCGCCGCAATCGAAGACACATCTTTTTTTTCTCGGTACAAAAAATAGAACAGGATCTGGTAAAGCAAAATTGGTGCCAATTTAGATGAAGGTTTACCCAAGTCCCACCCAATCAACCACAGTCTACTGCCTAGCATAAGTCCCACCTGATTGGCCACTGTAACTGTAACAACAGCACTGGGGGGGGGGGGGGGGGGGAGTGGTGGTGTTTCACAACTGCGGTGTATGGGTGGGTGGACTGCTTCATGTTGCAGTGTTGTTTACATCAAAGAATTTTGCAAAAATGGGGAAAAGAGTATAAATATTGACAAATAAGTCGCGACAGTGACTAGATGGCACTATTTTTTTTTTAACGGGGGACCAGTCAACCTTCCTCCCCCATACACAACCCCCCCTCCCCCCCAAACAAACTACACCCACAAAAACATATTTAATATGGTCAATGACAGTCTCAAGCCTGTATAAACGTAGAGGAAAAAATTAAACTGATCCTTGTCACAAGTCCCAAGCCAGTATAAACTGGTGGGCAGACCTTCATCGAAACCCATTTTCAGACCAGTCTCGACGGTAGACAGTATCTAAACCAGAAACATTGCTGTAAATCTTCATCTAAACCGGCACCACAAAATATAACTTATGACCTCACTTTTTATTTTCTCCTCGGGTGATCACCTTGATAAGGTCAACAAATGTCAGCAGGTCAGATCCTACAAAGGTTTGACCTTTCACTTCAGTAAGCAGCACATCCTCCACTGGCACTTATACGCAAACAACACACACCATTCTTTCAGAAGAAATCAGCAGCCGACTTTCTTTTTCTCTTGGGTAAGTTCAACAAATGATCGGTGAGAGAAGGAGCTTCCTGTGTGGTTTCCGACGTGGGTGTAGGCGTCCCATTTCCTCTCTCACTCGATGGGGTCCTCAGTCCCGGCGTTCCTGGCAATGAGCTGCGTGCTGATCGCTTGGACGAAGGCGTGAGTCGAACAGGAGTCTTTGTGCCGGGAACTCTGTGTGACGGAGAGGGACTAGGGGAGTAGCTGGCTTGAAGAGCCTTATCCGTGGACACGCGGATACCCAAACGCTTGCTAGCCAACCGCTGTGCTGCTGGAGACATTGAGTTCAGCCGCTCAACAGAGCTCAGCGATATTTTCGACGATGGTGACGGGCTGAAACAAAGAAGAAGAAAAAATTACAGTACTCAATTTATGTTGCCTAGCCCAAGTATAATAATTTTTTCCTCACAGTCTTTGGCAACACCCTCAATTGCAACAAACAACCCAAAAAAAAGCATAAAATAGACCTGCATGTGAGCCTCAACCAGATTGTCTGAAAATTTTGCGCAACCCCCCCCCCCCCCCATATTAGAGCTTTTGTAGGTGTCATAAGGAAGGACTTCCGAACAACGAGCGAACACCCCAACAAACACAATAAAGAAGAGACCTAACCCTAACCCAAAAAAGAACCTGCAACGGGCCTCATGTAAAAAGGCCAGCACAAATCCAAAATGAAAAAATAATTTTTTTTTTAAACCACACTCCAAAACAAACAAGCAAGGAGCATATGGCCTCGATCTAGATCTACATACATCTAATCTAGATCTACATTGCTATAATAATAATACGAAGTGACTATTCGGACTCGAGTCCGAATATGAAAAAATGTTATTCGGACTCTGATTCTTGTCCAGCTTGACATCACTTCCGACTTCCTGTGACTCGTGACTCCGGCTTCCTGTCCTGCCTCACTCGTGACTCACCTCAGGCTGGGTAGGGACCGTGATCGCTTCGGGCAAAATGGCGTTTTGAGCAGGAGCCGAGTTTTTATCTTATGATGAATTTGAGGCCGGCCTGAAAAGTTATAGCACTTTTAATAAATGTTTATTTGTCAAGAGGTCATCAGAAGCAATTAAAGATGGCTCGTTAGCGTGTGTCGGGGTCGGATGGGCGGCCTGCACACGTGTGGCTGTGTGCGCGTCGGGGAGGGGGGTGGGGGGCACTATCGGCCCGGGCGTTGAACGTCGCATATATGCGTCAGTCTTTTTCCCCCGGCAACTGATCATTATTACAATAATAAGCTAGTCTTGACGTAGATCTACGCAATAAATTGTGCGCTGGTCTATGGAATCAAAAGTTGCCGTATGCTCAGCTCTGCACAGCAACACAACTTTTTCTTGGTAAACAATCGAGATGACACAGGCTTGTGTATTTGAACGAATCGGTCTTTTTTTTTACACAGCTCATAATATGCAGGTGCCAGGTGGTCTGCTAATCTTCAATTCTACCTTTATCTACAACCAAGAAAGTGGAAAACATGGGGGGTGTGGGGGGGGGGGGGGCGTATCAATGAGGCGGCGGGCATCGGATCGGCTGAAAAGGTGTGGGGGAAACTAAAAAATGGCGGAAAATTGGGAGTACTGAACGTTAGATCTATAGAACGAAGACACTTTCTTTTTTCCGGACCCGAGTCCGAATAACATTTTTTCATATTCGGACTCGAGTCCGAATAACGACGGCCATAATAATAATATTGGGTTTGATACAATAACACAATAGAATTGGAATATATGAATCCTCCATATAGATTTAGTAATCTAAATAAATCTATATAGATCTTGTAGAACAAGTGAATAGGAATAGACCTTGAACTAGATCTAGAAATCCACATCTGATTCCGAACAGAGGGACTCAGCTGAGTCTAGATTCTAAATAAATAATGAAATAAATAATTCACGCACCTGATGAAATGCGTTTTACCAACATTAATATTACAACACAACCTATGATAGGGTTTGACACAATAGAATTGGAATATGAATCCTCCATTGAGGTTTATGATGATCTATATAAATCTCGATCTAGACTAGATTCTATTAGAACAAGTGAGTCGGACTTGAAAGAATCAACACGATCTGAACAATTGAATTAGTCAACAAACGAAATTCAAAATGGCCGCTCGAGCACGAAACAGAAAGTAAATAATTTAGGTCGTCGTCCTCTTTCGTATTCGCACTTCTACTCAGGTTCCGACAATTATGTCGGAAACGGCGACGTCGGCACAAAAACGAAAGTGCCGACAAAGCCGACGGGAGAAAAGGGGTCGCTGGCAGTCGGCAAGGCCTCGCACTACGCACATTGGCTGATACAGGTGGGCCTAGCGATAGCATCGGCCGGCTCGCGATTGTCGGATTTCAGACGATTGTCGGCAAACATGCAGGTCTAATAAAAACACTTTAAATATCTACTTCATGATTTTGAGCAAAAATGAGCCAAAATGCACCGACCCAAAGAATGTTGTTTTATCAACAACAAATAGCAACCCCATGCTTAATAAATAAAAATCAGTTAAAATTGTGAGTAGAAGCACCTACAGTCACCCACTCCTGAGATCCAACGGTGAACTGCAGACAAAACAGAAGAAAGAGAAGAAAAATAAAACAATAAGATCATAGCTCTTTCTCTTTTGTCTCACCTGGCAAACCTTCTCGTGACCTGCCGCAAAGCTTCCTCCTTCTTGGCCCGATGAGCTTTGCTGGCTCTCTCTGACAGTTCCAGGGCCAGACGTTCTCTCTTCGGGACATCTGGGATCTAGAAAGGGACAAACAAAGAGAAATTTGTTAGTTAAAAACAAAGAAAAATACCATTTTATGCATCTGCAGTCAAACCTCGTTACACCACCCATTTTGCGATGAGCATAAAGTTACCGGTACAGCGGGGCTAGCAGTACAACGGGACAGCACCAACCGCCATCTTTCCTAGTGGTCGACTGGTAGAGACTAGAGACAAATTGGCCAGTCTTGCCTCATCTAGATCTGTCTTGTACGATTGCCATGCCCACGGGAATAACAGGTTTGGGTGTGCATATATATGTGAAGGTGAACAGTGTCGTTGAAATGAGATGTATGTTTTTTTATAAACATTTATCGACTGTCTTTCAGGGTATCTATCAATCAGTATTGAAGGCGGATTTGTGCATCAGGTGACTGCCAAACTGAATTTTTAAAATTAAAACATATTTTCTGACAATGACATGCCAACACGAGATAATATGAGAAATGTGCTGACAAAATGAGTTACTTCTCAGATTCAAGCCTTACAGAAATAGAAACATCATGCTTATAAGTACAAGTGAAGTTTTACAATTTACAAGTATGAGGCATGTTATACATAAAAAATAGAGCATCAATAGAAGATGTACTAATTTGAACTCAATTTTGAGTTTTTGCCAATATCTCCATTTAATTTGTTGATTGCGAGAAGTAACTCATTTTGTCAGGACGCCACACATATGATCTTTTGTGACTAAAGTATGCCAGACAATTTTAAATAGTTTTCCCCATTTAATCATTTTTTGGTTATGAATCCTGATCTCAGCCTGTAGAAAGGCCATTATACTGTTAAAATCATGTCTGGGTTTCAGCATTCATTGATTCTAAAAACTGTAAAAGACAAAACTTATAAAAGGAAAAACTTCATAAATATGGATCTCAAGGCAGAGCAAATCAGAAAAAAAAAAATTGAAGTGAAAAAAATTTTTAAAAAACCCATTCTCTTTTAATTTAGACATAGAAATTCTTCTTGCCCTTCAACACTTCTGGCTGCAGCTCTTACCCTAAACACAGGTCCAGGAGTGGCAGCGGGCAGCAGGTCATTGGCATTGTCCAGCCGAGCCGGAGTGCTCTCGATCTCGCCCCAGGTCATCATGGGAGAGTCGGCCACGCCCGGCGCCGGGGATGGAGTCCGCATGAAGCCATAGCCGTTGACCTGGGGGGACTGGGACTGGAGCATCTCTTTGCCATCATGGCCAATTTTTCCTGGGGAAAAAAATATTATCATTGTAATTAATTGAATAAACAGTATTTGAATGTCAGTTGACTGTAGACTTTAATATAAATATTAATAATTAGATTTAGTTTACTTTTATTTAGTATATTACAACACTTGCAACACAATAAGGTTTTATAAGTGTTGAAGATTAGAGGTGTTACAAGAGAGTAACAAACACAAAAAAGAAGGAGGAGAGATAAGGACCACAGATGTTTGATAGGAATGAAGGAGCAAACCACACCAGAGCATCCGCCAACCACCTGCTACCATAATGTGAATACCATGTTCGTTCATTCCACCAAGCATAATATATAATTATGTGAAAATACATAGACAGACTAGAAAAACTTAAACTGATTCTCCTCATCTTCAGTTACTTTAAAAAACAGGTAGCTTTGTTTCCCCTACAAAATTTATGTTAATAGAAGATACTCTGAGAGCCCAACAGTCAAGTCTTCACTTCCCCAGGAAGGGATGACAATAATAGCAAACTCCGACCAGAAGAATGAGGCACAAGCAAACCACACTTGAGCATGCCACCTATCCCCCTTCCAGTTCTAGATTCACAACTAACCTTTGTTGATCAAAGCCTTGAAGGAAGCTGCTTGTTGCATGGCCTCTTTGCTCTTGGTAGTGTTGAAGGGGGCGTGCTGGAACCGCGTATTCTCGTGGATGATCTGTTTCGGCTTGTGTTTTTTGTCCTCGATCTGTTCCTTCGCACTCAGTTCCATGCCTGAAAAAATAAAATCAGTAAAGTGAAGAAACTTGCAAGTCTCAGATGAAGAGAGGCACATTACCACTATATCAAGTATCTAATGGTGGGAGAAAGTGTACAAACAGAAACAATAAATATAGAATAACGAAGTACAATCTACAACACTGAAAGAAGAGAGATGAACCACTGAACATTTCACAATGACACATCAGAGAAAATAAAAATTATTCCACATGTCAAAACGACATAAAGACTGAAGAGAAAATAAGCTCCTTACATTTAAAAAATGACATACTGACAACAAGCAACCACAAATGATGCACTAACAGAAGAGAAGTAAACTAGTGTATATTTCTAAATGACATGAAAGCTGAAGAGAAAGTAACTACTTTACATTTTGTTTGTTTGTTTGTGTAAAAAGAAACACATCGACACAATAACAGTTACCTAGCACCAGAAAAAAAGTAAGATGGACAGAAAGAAACAACAGACAATAGAAGGAAAGATAAGAAATAAGACCTACCAGTGACACCCTCCAAATAACAGCATTGCATATTTAAATATAACACACTCACTGAAGAGATACAGACTGTCGCATGCTTTGACTTACCCTCAGGAACATACATGACATGATTCTCGTTGACATACTTCCAGGTGTTCACATGCAACGGCTTGTCTTCTATCGCTGCTTGTTCCTCTATGGATGGCAGAGCAGCAAAATCTTCATGCTCCTGTTCAGGGAATTAAAATTAATTTTAAATATAGCCCTGAACAATAAGAAAGCGAAGCATATGAGAATAAAATCCAATCATTCAATCAACGAAAAAACAAAATCCCAGAGAAACAGGAAAAAAAACCCAGGATGGTACAGTGGGCTAAGTGAGCTAGAAACATTTGTGCATTCTCTCAAGATACACTTAAAATATTTTGACACTTTTCAACAACCCAAATTTTCATATGTCATCTATTCTGATGTGAGGGTGGGGGTTACCATTTAAAACTTAAGACTTTTAACAAATACTTTATATGCACAGGGAAGGTTAATGAGGATACAAATTTAGGATTGTTTTTTTTAAATTTGAAAACACACAGCTAGCATGCACTATTCACATGTATGTAGACAGTTACATTGAAGGACCAGAATTTTTCATTTTTTGTAATCAACATTTGGACGTTCTAAATGTCTGATGAAAAAAGCATTGCGTGATAATACAAAATGTGACATGCCCATCAACTTCAAGGAACTATGTATCGAAATTGTCACTGGAATACTGTCTAGGAGGTACAAGTAGACCCTATTTTTCCTTAGGAGTGAAGAGTCTACATAATCATGTAATCACTGCTCACTTTCACAATTTGGGAACATTATTGCAGTCAATTTTACATATACAGACTTGGGCCTTATTTAATTCAAACAGACATTCATGAAATCATCAATTGAGTTGTGAGTATTCTATAACTCATGCAGTTACATTTTCAGAAACTTACACAGCCTCCAATCAGTACCCTTAAACTATTCACTAGCCAAAGCTCTCCTGTACAAAAATCGATTTAACCCATGAAAATATCAGCACTAGTGCATAATAAACATTCAGGGTTATAAGAACAGGTTTTTTTCTTTTTCTTCTGACTTACTGCCAGCTGCTCTTTCTCTTTCTGGAAGAGCCACTCATATTTGAGCTGTCTCTTGCGCTCCGATTCCTTCAGCAGCTCAGAAAAGGAGGCGCTGTCTTCACTCGTGTTCCGTGCCAAGAATGAGTCGAGCTTCATCTTTGGTGTTTCCATCTCTGACGAGTCACAAAATGAATAAGTAAAAAAAGGTTATGTTAGGGGCACAGAAAGGAGAATGCAATGACTCTTCTGCATCATGTAAATCAAACAAAAAACAATTTTTTTAACATTCTATTACAGTTACACAACTGATTTCAGTGTTGCAGGAACAACTCCACAACCCCCCCTCCTCCTACCCCAAGTTACACTACAATGTAACAATCTACTAGAAGGGCATTCCAAAGGGTCTGTTGTGCATTAACACAACATTTAAGAATAATAATGACATTTATAAAGTGTTCAACCCGACTAAAGAACACAGGCTTTGAGCGTTTCACAAATTAATGGTAACGCATAAACAATACATTGTGTTCTGAACAAAAATTTCAGTATGTGAGGCATCGTGGTGAAATCAGGTGCTCATCAAAATAGTGAAATTGACAAAAATCAACATTTTTCTGTCAATACATTTATAATTTGTTTTGCATTGCGCTCAACACACATGTATCTTTTTCATCTAAAAACAGAAACGACAGAAGCTTACATTTAAATTAATACAAAGATTTGATCCCTCTTTAACTACAGGGAAAAGCATTCCAGATCTTGGGGCAAGATGTACAAATGTAATCTCAGGAAGTAATTGATCAGCATTATGTCCAGGACAGGTTAACTTTACAAAACTTTTAAAAACAATTTTACACTACAATTTTCATCTCTTTTTATTATATTATGGAAAGAAGAAGAAAAAGCTCTAAACAAGTCATTTCCTAAAACATGCAATTTTTGTTACCTTCCTCTGGAACTTCTTCACTGACATCCTCTGAAGTGCCTCCGACATCGCCACTAGTACCAGGGCGTAAGTTGTCCGTGCTCGGTCTGCCCTTCTTTGCAGGCGTTGTTTTCCTCCTGCCTACAGGGGTTTCGAACGTTGCTGGAGTAAGAGCTACGTGTGTAAAAGAGAGAATCAAAAATTATCACATTTTCATACCAACAAAAAGAACATTTCATGTGGTGATATTATCTTCCTATTATGTAATTCAAGTCATGCTAGGCTCATAGATGACAACATGAAGGCTAAAATTAGACTTCAAATCTTACTTCACAAAAACGTCTACAGTTTAGCACGCACAAAGCGAAACTGGTGGGACGTGGAAATTTTTTCATAATAACGAATTTTGCTAGAGTGGAATCCACTTATAACAACTCCTGAAATAACGAGAAGTCTGTTATAAAGACACTTTTCTAAAACCATGTTTTTTTCCCTTTTTTATCTTTGTAAATAAAAATACTGCTATAACGCAAGCAGACAAACTCGAGAGTCAGTTAAAGCAGAATATAGCTGCTGCTGTGCACAACGCATAAGCCATTTATTCATGTAAAACCTCGCTAGTTGAGAAACTTGTCGGTTATCTTGCGAAACAAAGAATGGGAGAGCCCACGTGTGCCAACAATGAAGGCCGGATTGAATGAGTGGGGAGAGTGGCATGCACAGACAAGCAGAACTCATCGTGTGATAGGCCAGCCAAGTCTTGATTATCTAGGCATACCGTGCCTCTCACTTCTCCGATGCAGGAACGGAGAGGTCATAGCGCTGTACTGTGATGGACGGAGCGAATGTGTGATGGGGGGCAGGGTGTGGTATGTTCCCATTGTGCACAAGCAGACGGAACGCACCACAGGGTGTGGAGGGGTGGGGGATAACACAGCGGGTGAACTAACCTAGAGAATTTTCTTTCTGATCGCCTACGCCGAGCTGTCAACATCGCTAGCGCTAGAGAAAGAAACCTGATTCCACTTTTGATCAAGTAAGACTTAAAGGTCATGTTGAACCAAATCATCATCAGGGGAGATTACAAAAAGAAATTAACTGAAAACCAGACTCATAGAATAGGCCTACTTTACTATTTCCCTTGAATTTATTATTGGATCCTTTATAAAGAAATCCTGCTAAAACAGACATTTGGCACCTCTCGTTATAACAGGATTCCATTGTATTTGTTTTAAATACAAAGAATATACACAGTTAAATAAGAAAAAATTCAGGACCTGAAAATATGCTATCTTTGTACATGATATTGGACTGTAATTATATATATAGCATTTTTAGGATAATCTGATTCTGACCCTAGCGATTACTACTACACTACCCTACTATCCTACCCCTAATCCTAACCCATGTAAAGTTACTATTCATATTTCATTATTTTTGGGCCAAAACCAGAGATTGCCACATTATTTTCAATTTCCAATCTGCACAGATTTCACTAGACCCTAGACAGGGGCTCTCGTGGCCTAGAGGTTAAGGTGTTCGCCTCTCATTCAAAGGTTACGGGTTCAAATCCGGGCAGGACAGAAATTTTTCTTCTCTAAAATGGTCTCCTTTCACCTCTTTTCCTGCTCTAGCAATGTTTTGTAGTCTGCTTTCGTCTCAACTTTCTGCCTAGACAGGATTTCTACATACTATCTGAAAATGACAGATGGCATTATACATATACCATATATACCATAGTGCAGAGATGCCAACCAGTACGATTTTACGTATTTTAGTAAGATTTTTTTTGCCGAAAATGCACGAATACGACTTTTCATGAAAAAATACGCATCCTGGAATCAGAAAAATACGAGATTCAGCTTGGGCGAGTAAACCTAATTATCTCAAGTCCCATCTTTTGTCAAAATAATCTCAGTATCACAGAATTGGAATATTTGAAAACAAAGTCCAATAAGGTCAGTAAGTTCAATTTTCCCGGTCGCGATTGTAATATTATATTCGTTCAGCTTTTCCCCGCCTGAGAGTACGTTTCACTTTCATGAGGACAGGCGGCAGGCGGAAGTGTATGTGACACCGAGGCTCGATCGGGAAAATCAAGATCTACTTTCGCTTTCGTTACCACAGAGAAGTTTGCCAGCGTAGTCTGATAACGCAACATTTGTGACATGCTGGTTGTGTCGCTGTGCAAATAAAATTTAATCAATACTCCGACTCGTCTCTGTGCTGTCACTTGTGGGAAAAAAGAAAAGAAAATACAAGCATCGTCCGATTTTTAGATTGTCTGGCTCGCCATCGTGAACGGTCAGTGACCCTGCGCGCATTCGCATCATAAAAATACAGCATAGTGTGAGCAAAGACTGTCTTTGGTGGCAGTAACGGCGTGGCGAGGTATAGGACTACGGAATAGGGGAGGGGATTATTGATTTTTTTTAAAGATACACGGGGGGAGGGGGGGGGGGTTGAAGGCAACACCAGAGGACAAAAACTTTGAAGCAATTTCAGTATATTGATTAGAGTTCTCTGCAAAGCGCGCGTTGGTGCAGGCCGTGTGCGGAATCGGGTCCCTTCATACTTTGTAAGTCTATGTTATTGAAATAAAGTGTTCGCGTTTCATTGGATGGGTGATAGTAAATTATACCTACAGTGTATGTTGCAGCTTTCTGTTCAAGACTGGCAGATTTTCAGTGTCACTGCATCTTGCCCTCCCACAGTTGTTACAACCCTCACACTGCATGGGTCTACTTGAGCCATTCAAGTTATCATATGGCTCTTCTCTGAGTTTGAACAATAATTTTAGTCTGTCAGTTCATAACATGAATCATGACACCCAGACTGTTTCTTGATAGTCGAAATTCTACTTCTAGGCCCTTCTGAACGCTCAAAGCTGGATTAATTTTTTATATAATAATGAGACGAAATCTTATAATAGACTGAAATACTTAAGTCAAACAAGACCCCAGTACGACACTGAACACTGACATGTTGTTTACTGGATACATGTATATTGTACACGTGTGTGCTCCCTTTTTCGAGCTGGTGAGCTTGTAATTTTTTTTCAGGAAATATTGCTGGACGCCCTGAACATTTTACTAGTTGGTCGGTCGGTCATGGGGAATACACATTTCCCTCTAAAAATACACATCTTCATATTTCCCAATACTCATTTCGGTTTTCTGTGGTTGGCATCTCTGCATAGTGTGTCATTATCATCTCTTGACAGTACATACAGCAAGCATCATCCAGGTGATGAAGGGGATAAAAGGCCATTTTCCCAAGAAATGTCATACAAAAATTATTATGTTTAATAATAGATAGCATTTGTATAGCGTCTCCACTTTCAGCCACTCCCCCCCCCCCTCGCCTCCTTTGCCCCCTCCTCTGGGCTCTTGACTCTTTCTGCAGCCTTTCTACTGCTTCTCCTTGGCTCTTTCTTACTGCTGTCTTTCAGCCGCACCCCTGACCTTTTGGTAGGTAAGATCAACACGCAGCCTTCAAGGACAAAGGCGAAAAATCTTGGAGGTTGCACACGTTAAAGATCCGTTGGTGGTCAAAAATCGTTAAGAGCAAGCTTTGGCCTCCACCCACGCAAAATTCAAAATTACCTACGAACAGCAAAATGTTTGGTGTGGCCCACGCGCTTTTATCACCTTATGCAGTTGTGAGCACCGTAAAACACTTACCAAAAAAAAAGAAAGAAAAAGTTCAAGTTGCCTTATGGGTGCTCAAACACTAACATACTGACAAGATCTTTCACTGTCTATGGCCCGGTGCCCATTCCCACCTGGGTGAAGTGAGGAAAGTTTGTGTAAAGAGCCTTTCCCAAGGACACAACATCAGGCCCGAGGTTCAAAACCCTGAACCTGCAACCTCACAATTACGAGTCCGGTAGCCTAACCACTAGGCAACTGGCGCCACACACGTAAAAGAAGACAGAGCCGATGCAGAAGGCAGGATTAGTTACAAATTAAACATTTCTTTCATATATATATAATTTTGATTTCACTTTTATACAAGGCATAGAATCACAACAACTTTCAAAAGAAAAAAAAATGCATTTAAGACAATACAGCAAGAACAATATAAAACAATTTTTTCAAGAAAACATCCATACCTGCACCTGATGCACCAGTCTCAGGGCGGCCATATTGCATCTGAATCTCCCTCAATTTGACCAAATCATTTTTCTCTAAAGCCTCATAATACTCAACCTGAGCCTCGAGTTTTGGAATGTCAGGAAAGAAATCTCTTTCAATAATCTTGGTGATTCCCTGAGAAGAAATAAAAGAAAAGTAAAGAATTATATCACTTTTAATCCTGGTCTTTCTTCAACTTCAAATGATCATTTTTTTAAATGCACACATAAATAATATATATATATATATATATATATATATATATATATGTTGACAATGATTAACAATATAATTATAGTCACATTATAGATCTAGATTGAATCATGAAATTCTATTCCACAAATTTACTATTTAAACCTTTAGGCTATATTTGCAAGTATCCCTGCAGAACACACACGTAATATTTTAGGCAGCCTTACACTTAGACCTACTGTTCTCAGTGCAGAACACACATCAGCCACGGCGCACCGGCAGTGGAATTTTAGTTGCCGCAGGGGGTTCCCCGCCGGGCGCCTTATCACGTCGGGGTCAGGGGGGTCAGCTCCCTGTCCCCGCTCTGTCTGGGCCAACTTAATTTTAGGTACTTTTCAACGTACAATTTAAGGTGTATCCTTGTATTTATGGTAATTCTCATTTAGTGCACCCAAAGCACGCATTTCTGCTCTTGAGACTCAAAAAAGAACGGACGTTGTAACTTGTCTGGTTATTTCGTTAGACGCGCTGGAGGCGGCAATGCTAAATTGTAATTTTTTGGGGGACTAGCGTGAATGAAAAAAAATCAATATAAAAAAAGGCCTCGTCAAAATCTGTCGAACTTTTGGAACATGAACGACATAACATTGGTGCAGCTACTCAGAAAAGATGGTATCTGCGCATATAATAGAAGGCTGTAATTTTGCAATTTTATCCATCGGGCACACAATTCGCTATGAAGTAATTCCTCCAAATACAACTTTACATTGTCTAATAATATAATCGTGAATTTCGCATATTTTCTCGAAAGTTTATAAAAGTTACCATGAAGTTTCTCTGTATATATGAAAAGTACAAATCGATTTTAGTGCTACAATACATCTTCAACGTAGATCTAATACTCGAACAGTATCTGTTACACTTCAGAAATTCCTTACTTTTCTTAAAACACTAAGTCTAGGTTATTGTAAGTTGACTGAATAATAGTATTAATAGGGATGACTTCCCGTAATTGGGTTATTTCTAGCTTTCCAGGGACACCGAATCAGCACCAGACTTTCCCAGCTTTTTTTGTTGTTAATATGACCATTTGCAATAACTGACAATGTGACTGATTTCTTTATATTCTATTGTGTCCGCGCATATTTCCTACACAAAAACTAAGAATGAATGTTTTAGCTGTCATTATTTTTATTCCATACAAGAAGTTTATCTACCCATGTAATTTACACGGTTTTGTGGGGTTTTTTAATCGCTTATATTATATCTTTTTAGTTGTATACAGGCTGCCACAGACACAGCATGATTTATTAACAAACGCAGAGTAACTTTCTCTTGTTTAATAGTAAAATAAGAGCTAACGCTGATCGTCTTTAGTTAAAAAATGCAGATGTGCATCTTTCTTCTCTTATAACTTGACTATTTCTACTCGCGCAGATTTAAGATTTCTCATAGTAAAAGACATGATATTCGTAGTCAGTTTAACACAGATTTTGGAGAGATCTGTTGAGCCTTTTTAAAATTTACAATCATTTAGGCTATTCAGTTTGTAACTAGATCTAGATTCTAAAATAGGACAAATTGGGTACTCTACAAACACTTGTCTAGAACAAAAACCAAGGCACAGAAATTAACCATTCTAACGCAGAATAAATCTCAAGACATTGAGCTTTTAGTACATCCGCGTAATGGTTTGCTGTGTGGGATGGGGAAGAAGTTATTTTATATTGTTTTAAACCTATGTCAAAAATGCGAACTTCCTAACCGACACCGGCAAATTCGCTGCAGGGCTCATTAACCCCGTGACCCCGAGCCAGGGAGCTTCGGCGGGTTGCTGAGTCACGCTAACTAAAAGTAACAGAATCGGGCGAAAAGTGACGCCGTGCAGCAGGCCCCCCAGCCATCCAAAACATACGCTTTTAGTAAAATTGCGACTGGATTTTAAAAAAGGGAGTGAATACAGATCCGGTAACCGAGTACAAAGTCACAAAGTATACAGACCCGGTAGGGGAACTCTTTTGTGATTTCGGAAAGTTTCAGCGCCCTCTTGGCTCAGGGTAGACCACAGAATTCTACACTACTGGTAGACTTCTTCTAGATCTAGATCTAGATCTCTATTCTATGGTCTAGGTCTAGATCTAGACAGACAGACATAAATCATTGATCTAGATTCGAGGCTAGCCTAGATCTAGATCTAGATCTAAATGAAGATTGCGGATGCCTTTTCGATGAACGATCGTTTTTCCTACGTTTTGGAGTTGGAGGAATCACAATTTGAAGAAAACAACAATGTCATAATTTCAATCGAGCAGTCCCCTCTCTATTTCTCTGCCTCTCTCTCTCTCTCTCTCTCTCTCTCTCTCTCTCTCTCTGTCTCTCTCTCCTTCCTCTGTCTCTGTGTATCGCTCGCATTCTCTTTTTCTTTGTTTGTCTCTGTCTTTCTTTCTCCCCACCTATTTCCCACTCTATCTTTCTCTCGTTCCATCCTGCCAACTGGGGCATGTCATAATATACATTTTGCTAGCACTTCTCTCCTCTCTCTCTCTCTCGCTCTCACACACACACACACACACTACCGGGTCTGGGCGCTGAACGAAACTTTCTGAAATCACAAAAGAGTTCCCCTACCGGGTCTGTATACTTCGCGACTTTGTTCCCGGTTACCGGGTCTATTATACACTTCGTTTAAAAAATTAAGAAGGCTAAAGAGGGAATGCAGACCGGTGATCTTGTAGTTCCGTTCGTTTAAGTCCACGACCCATTTGTTTACATCCAGAGAAGAAATCCAGAAGTCTTGATGACCAAATACTCTTTGAAATAGGCTGCACAAAGAGCAGGGATGCAACCTAACTTTAAAACATCACATTAGGAAAACATTCACGGGGGCATGCCCCCCTGAACCCCCCCAACCTCCATATTTTTATTAGGTCAGGGGGGCTTGCCCCATCTCTTGACTTTAACGAACGAAACTACAAAATCGCCTGCAGACCTGCTGCCACTCTAGATCTAGAAGTATATGAAATCTTTAAAAGTCTCTTATGGACAGAATCTTCCCTCTCTGATTAGATCTATGTTTTTACGTCGAGTCGAATTTACACAATAGAGAGGCTAAGGAGACACACCTGAGAAAACTCATCTTCGGTCAACACTTTCTGAGCTTTCACAGCCCTCTGTGCTGGGACTTTGAATTGGAAGGGAACAAGCGCTTGGTCCTTTTTAACAACTATTTTATCTGCCATACTGCTGGCTACAGTAGTGACATGATCACCTATTAAATTTTATAATCAACAAGTTCAGAGTTAAAAGACGTAGATTCTGTAACTGGACCACTTTCTTCTACGCATTAACAGGTTCATATGTCGTCTTATTGACGTTCTTCTCTTCTCAAGTTATTGTTAGTTTAGGAACAAACCGGAAGTAAAGTAATTTCATGATTCTAAAATACTAAATACCAAGACTGTTTACAAAAATGGAAAATAATGAAGGACATGTTTCAAATTATTCATTAAAAAATTATTATCTTGTACATATAGATCTACTATCAAATGTATTTTTCGAAAATTTAAAAGACATCAACTTTTTTTTCTCTAAAATCTGTTTCCATAATTCCTTGTTTTGTTTTTGTTTGCTTCTAAATTTAGTGTGTTTTAGAGGGAGACCACTTTGAAAGCCTTCAATTTTGTCGACTGCTAGGCAGTTCTCACTGAGGCTGAATTGAACCCTTCGACTTCGAACAGAGATGTTTTCTCCATAGAGTTACCCATTTTAAACCTATAGTGTACATCTAGATCTAGATCTATGTTTTTTTCCAACTTAGCGAAAATCTGTCAGAAATTATTCGTACTGCTGTGAGAAAATGGTATGTGTCGTATTTGAAACTTGAAGCGAGAGCATCTTAAGATTTCATGTTTCTTAATTTTTTATTGGCTTCGTGTGCCTGCTCAGAAGTAGTCTAGAGTGATTGGACCCCATACGAACCATTACCCAATATGAACCACCCGTCGCTTGTTTCGTTTATGTGGTGAAAGGGAAGACCAATTTCGTGGTCTAACCTATTTGCGAAGGCGTGGCTTTCATCCTTCTTCAATTTCATGTCGGTCGGCTTGCTGTTTACGTCTTTGTTTGATCACAGTGCTTCATCAAAGTTGCGAACCGAGGTAAGTTATTGATTTTTCCCCGCCATCTATAGCATTTACTAAGGTTATAACTCAAGAGGTCTAAGGTCATGGATAGTAAAACTAGCACTTCCGGTTGACCTGGATGTAGCCAGGGCATGTTAAAAACCTTCATCTATGCTTCTGTGAGGGGGATTTTCCTGGTTCGTTTGAGATTTGGGTGGTAAGAGGGTGGTTCGTTCGGGGTACATTTATTTTTATAAGAGAGCCATTACCGAACGAACCCGCTCTTTGTTTTAGTACTCCCTGTTGTTAGAAATGAAATATAATCAGTGGCGGCTTGTGGTTTATAGAACTGACCGGCCATCATTCACATAGACTCTTTCTTCCTCCCCCCACCCCCTTCCTTCACAACACACACACACACACACACACACACACACACACACACACACACACACACACAAACACATTCTCTCTCTCTCTCTCTCTCTCTCTCTCTCTCTCTCTCTCTCCTCATTTGATACCCCTACTTTCGCCATCCCCACCCCTCTCCCACCCACACACACACTTGTGACACACCACTGTAAACATTTTAATATTTATATATGATGTGAAAGAGCTGAAATATGGTAGTGTCAAGAAACAATATTATGATTCATGTATGATGGAAGTTACTGAGTTAATAGAAACTGACTTGAACGGCATAGAAAAAGAAACTCTAGAGTCTATGCTAGAAAACAAACTGAAAGTGAGAAGCGCAATAAACTGCTGGCCATGGCCTCCGATACTTTAACCAAAGACTTATTTACTTTCTACTCTACACACCCACACACAATATTGACATGCACTCCACCTGTAAATATGTAATAAAAACAGCACTGTATGACGACAAAAAATCAATTGATACTGTACCAATGACGCTGTCCCATTCAGATTAAGTCTGCAATCAGATACTGTACAAAGCTGGACAACTGTTTTCCATCATTATGTAATCAAACGTTCTTCATCACACTTCTCAGTTCTCAGAACACTTTTGTAACAAAGTGGGGAAGTGTGTCAAATGCTAATTTATAGAACTTGGTGTCTAGCTGGGGTGACGGTGGATAAGGGGAGGGAAGTGAGGGGGTAGGCCCATTGTTTTCGGCCCAGACCCTGACAGCCGAGAGCCTATCGCTCCTCGTTATAATTCTCCTTATATGTCTTCACTAGACGATTCGTCTTTTCGCCGGCTAGACTCATATGGGCCAGGTATGTTATTAGTGGGAACAAAGAAAGCGATGAATAGTCACCAAACAGGAACTAATGGTGGCTAAAAATTCAATAAACAAAAAAGATTGGTGCCATGCAGACAATAAATGTTCTGATGATAGAGAAAGGCTGAATAATAAGTACATGTATTGCTGATAAAATATTGCAAGAGTCTGTGCTGCTCAAGACTCAAGACAGTCTCATTACTGATTTTGCAAGCAACACGGAGGCCAATTTGGCAATCAAGGGATGCTATTTTCGCTCTCAGGGCAGTCGATGCATTTGTCCATTGGACTGACGTCATCGCTGTTCCCGCCGTGTTCGTTTGTCCTTATACGAAGTTCCGCGACGTGAAGGCTTGACGGGAGACGGTTTAAAGTTACGAGCAGGTGAAGAAATGAGGCTCTGTCGCGACAAAACAGCAGTGAATCCCACTTGTCTTAGATTTGAACGCCTTCAAATCGGCAAGGTGCTTTTTGAATGTTGATACATGTTTATTCGGATTTACTTAAAACTGAATGAAAATCATCATCAGCAATATATCTCTTGTCAACAGTCTAGCTGACAAAAATTTGACCGGCACCGCCGGTCTTGCCCAGTTAACAAACCGCCCCTGAATATAATGGCACTTTCAGTGTTGTTATAATGGGGGCAGAGGTGGTTATTTGTATGGAGGGCATAGTCATAGAATTTTGTCGAGGGACTTTCATGATAATGCTTCATCAAAGGGACCGCCTTGAACTCATATTTTGGTATCAGATATCATTTGCGAAATGATTCATCATCATCATCCAGTGCCAGATCTGCGACAGACATCGGCGATCATGGTTTTCCATCCGTTCCTTTGCTCGGATGCTCTAAAAAAAGCTACGTTTCCCTGATCTTTCCCTGTTACCCATTTGTTTAGGTTCCTTAAGTATGTTGTTCTGGGCCTACCCCTGCCTCGCTTGCCCTCAGTTTTGCCAGTGAGAGCTAGATGTTCAAGACCCTTATGTCTATTCAGGTGTCCCAAAAACTGCATTTGTCGTTTCCTGATTCCTTTATGATTACATAAATATTTTTTTCCACAGCCATGGCAGCAACAACAACAATTTAAAGAAGAAGTGACTCAACTTTTCAGAGGAGTCGATGATTGCTGCATTATGTGATTGTGTTGGCAAAGGGATGAAGTTTAAGAGAGGCTTTGTAAGGACTCATGGTGTGCCTTACGCTTAATTTATTTTATTCTTGTTCTTTAGAACTGCAATCCTTTTTGTATGGCAATATTTCTTGTTCATGTACCTATTTGTTCTTCTTTAAACTTCATGTTTTCAATTTCATATATGTGCATGGTTACTCATTGACTTGACGTTACCTTGGTTTGTTCTCTCCCCAAAAATGAATACATGTGTCAGATGGTGTCGTGTATCATAATATATTCTTGTTCTTACTGTAAAGGTTCTTGGGGCTCTCGTGGCCTAGAGGTTAAGGTGTTGGCCTCTCATTCAAAGGTCCCGGGTTCGAATCCGGGTAGCGACCAAAAAATTTCCTTCTCTAAAATTGTCTCCTTTCACCTCCTTTCCTGCTCTCTAGCAATGTTCTGTTGTCTGCTTTCATTTCCACTTTCTGCCCCCCCACTCCCTCACCTCCTTTGCCCCCTCCTCTGGGCTCCTGACTCTTTCTGCAGCCTTTCTACTGTTACTCCTTGGCTCCTCCTTACTGCTGTCTTTCTGCCACACCCCTGATCTTCTGGTAGGAAAGATCTACATCTAGCCTTCTCGGACTAGGGCGAAAAATCTCGGAGGGTCCGTGTGCAAGTTGCGCACGTTAAAGATCCCTTGGTGGTCTAAAATCGATAAGAGTAGGCTTCGGCCGCCACCCGGGCAAAATTCAAAATTTCTTACCAACTGAAAATATTAGGTGTGTCCCGCGCGCTCATATGACCTTATGCAGTTGCAAGCGCCGTAAAACACTTTACAAAAACAAAAACAAAGGTTCTTATTATCAATGTCAAGTATCTTGTTCTTGCAACAGTTTGTTTCTCAATATTTTCAATAGCGTACATGTATTTGGTTACTCATTGAATTGCCTTTTTGTTCTCTTCAACAAAAATAAATTTAGGCCAAAAGGTCTGGTGAAACCACCCCTTCGTATTTTTCCGTTTGTCTCCGCATTGTTGTGCAGGCTTATTTGAGTTTACTTGTCCCTTGATGAGGTTTCAAATAACCTGGACTCTCATAAGGACAGTGGGCAATCATAACATCTAGAAGAAAGCCTTCTTGACACTGTCAGATTATATATGTAGGCCTACTTGCAACGTATATGATGCCTGGAATGAGAAGAGACACAGTCTATAGTTTTATCACACTGGAAATCAGGTCAAAATTTTAAAAGCAGGAAAATTGTTTGGTACCAAAATGGCTCTTCTGGTCACTGAAATACTGTTAAGAAACAAACACTAATAAAATTACAAAAAAGCACTTTCAAAACATGGTTTCATGATGTGTGGTTCATATGAGGACTACAGGTGGTTCTTGTAAGGGCGGGTGGTTCATATGTGGGCCCATCCTGGTGTAATGAAGATTTCATAATTAAATGTCCATGAAAAATGCGAATGAAAATAAAGAAGCCTGGCACCCATAGGAAACACTCCCCACACATGTTGGTTTATAGCACAAAAGGTCAAGGACAGCTCTGATCTGTGGTGTCTCTCTTGGAATTGGTTAACCACAGTTACACCCCTTACTGGTTCGTATGGGGTCCAATCACTCTAGATCTAGATCTATCTACTATCTAGATGTAGATCTAGATCTAGATCTAGATTTAGATCTAAACTCTATGTAGATCTACATGGCATTACCTCTGAAATAATAATTGAGAGTATGGGTGTGTGTAGGGGGGGGGGGGGGAGATCTGAATGTAACCCTATTATTTTTACCCTTGCTTTGCCTTAACCTTACTAAGCTTAAGCCTACACCCTATCAGGTACACCCGTACACCCTAACCGCTGAACCCAGCTATTTCATTGGTCGCTTGATACAGAATATCCTTCCCCTTTTGAAGGCCGAGATATAGCCTAGACTAGATCATCTAGATCTAGAATCTATATCTAGATCTAGATCTAGATCTAGATCTAGGTCGACTCCAGAGCAAAAGACAGATTTTAACAAATGTCTTCTACCATCATTTTTCTGTATCGACCCCAAATTCTTTGGCAACAAATGCACCAGAAAAAGTTATCAGACTTTGCTGAGATACTGAGATCAGAGAGAGAAGATCCTTTCCTTGAGAGACTTTTGCCAAACAGTTTTCATTGAAAACAATGAGCTCTGTTTAATTGTCTGTCAATTCTTCTCTCCTTAATTCCTCTCTCTTTTCCTCCTTTCAGTTTGTGATTTTTAAAATGCTCCGACTCCACAAAAGACTAGATCTATATTCTAATTTTAAAGAACTTGTGTGAAGAAAAGACTCCTTCGGCATATCAATTTATTTATACATGATTTATATCAATTTACATTTTAATGTTTTCAGAAGCCCAACCCAGCACCATTTTTCAACTATCGGAAGAGACAAAGACAGGCCATATTGTCTGACCCATCGCAGCTTTCAGCAAGTTTAAATCAGGGTAAACCAATGGTTTAACTGGATCTTTTGTCGTATAGATTATCTATTGAGGTTCTTTGAGTTTGGCTACTCCTCCAAGAACATAAGTATTTAATTAATTACTTTTGGCTTTGTTATTTTCATTCTATGTTCTTGGGTTCAAAAGTAAAAGCCAGTGTACTAGCAATGACAGCTCTTTAACATTACCAACAACTGCTACTGATATTGTACCCTTGAAGTACAGTCAAACCTGCCCTGATGGCCACCTCTATTAGACAGCCACCCGTACGAACGGCCACTTTCCATTCCCCCCCTTGCGTTTTTTATATAATTTAACTGTGTAAAACGGGCACCTGTCCAACACAGCCACGGACACCATTATTTTAACACACAACCCCAATCACACTAAGCGATAACACCTGTCTTAGACAGCCACCTTAGTGACTCCATAACGTTTTTGTCATAAATTGTGCTTTGGCTCCTGGCGTTATGGGCGAGCCGTCATAATTCAATCACCTGTCGTTGTTGTTAGGTAGTCCCTCCAACCGATCATGTTGTGTAGGCCCCTCCCACTGTTGACCCATAACTACCAATTTTCAGCTGCTGGTGAGGTAAGCGTGTGATCCCTCATAATCCATAAGCCCCACCCACAGCCCTTACATTAATCGTAAGTGAGATTAGTGGTCACTGTTTACCCAATCTGTAATAAAGTAATAAATTAAAAGGCGTCAACATGAACTTGTTACAGAAACATCGCTCGTTCTCCAAGTGGTGGCAACCCATGTGTTTGTTTTAACATTGCACTGGGTCTTCCTTGTCTGATACATTTCGTTTTATTGTCACCCTTGTTCAAAACCAGCAACAAAATAAAAATTACAAACAAAATACAAACACTACCTCCAACAACAAAAACAACAACAATGCGGCTACTTTTGAATGGGATCTCAGATGGGAATGGTTTGTTTTCTTCGTCTTGATCAGTCCTGCCTAAAACGACCACGTGTCTTATACAGCCACTTTTCTCCTTGACAATGGGTGGCCGTCTTACACAGGTTGGACTGTATATCGAATCCAGTAGAGTTATTTTTTGTAGGTTTGTTGTTCCTCAAAACACTGCCGTTATAGTTATTATTTTGTAAAGAGTGCTGATTTTACATTAATAAATCTTGTACCGTTACCCTGCTTTGAATATATATGATTCATTTGGTACTTCTCATAACTTTATGCCTTAAAATTTGTTCAAGATTACATTATGTGACGTTCCTCAACCAGAACCTGTTCCTCAAATCTGGGGTCCATTTGCCGTATAAGCAGTGTTTTATTTAATTAACATGTTATAGGACTTATACGCGTGTGAGAGCCAATAGCATATATGGGTTCATCAGTTATCCCTAAGACATGGTAGAGCTCACCTCTCAGGCTTTATGTTTCAGTTACCCAATTCAATTGAAATAATAACAAAGTCTTAGGGGAAATAGGAAGGAGAATGAGATAAATGCAAAAGTTTGGGATCTTATGTCCTCTTTTCACTCATTATATTAATATTATTATTTTCCTGAATAATCCTCACCCAAGATTGAAGAGATTCTAATCTGTGCTGATAATTTTGAACCCTGCAGGTAAGCCATGCCTTAAGACAAATGAGAAAGAAAACATGAACAGTATTTTTGCTATACCTGTATTAGAGATGTCTCTCAAGTTTACATACAGTATTGAGGGTTTGTTTCAGGGCTTGAATTTTAGAAAAAATACAAAGAGCTTTTTCTTCGTAAGAAGAGCTCTGACTGTTCTACAAATTTAAACTGGTCTGAATTAATTTCTTTTTGTTCAGCAGGACAAGCGTCAAACAATGGAAATCTCGTTGAAAATGTTCCTAAGACAGGCACTAGTTTCAACCAAAGCCAACAAGCTTCTGCATCATATCAAGCTGATAATGTGGGTTCTAGTTTTGGGAAGAGACAAGCTTCAGACTCAACTCACCAGAATAACTTCAATACAAGATCAGGCCTAATGGACCTGAGTGGCAATTTTAATCAAAGACAAACTTTTGCATCACATTCCAGTTGCAAACCGCAAGGAAGTTTTGGTGGGCGTGGTGGATCCTTGAAAGATAGTTTTTACAACGCTCAAAGCCCCAGTGTCAGAGGCAAAAGCTCTATGCTAAATGCAAGAGGCAGAGGGAGAGGTGATTCAAAATTACCAATCTGGGATAAAAATCAGCAGCCGACCCACCAGAAGAAATCTTCGACAGCTGCATTCAGTAATGATAATAACGAGTTAATGAGTTCCTATTCTACTGAAATCAATGGCAGTATGAGCAGGGGGAATAACAACAGAAACTTTTCTAGAGGTAGAGGATCTACTTCTGCGGGCAGTCACTCAATCAGTTGCATTGCCCAAGAAAGTCCGGCTGGCAGGGCAGTGGCCAATTCAAAATCTAAGGCTTCCACTTCGGGACAAGGCAGGGGAGGATTCTACTCCAAGGGACAACACAGCCAACCCAACAATGAACAAATGACAAACCCATACAGAAAGAAAGCAGCAGATGGTAGAAATCCTGGGTAAGACAAAGTAAAATTTAAAGTTTCAAATGTGTTTTGGGTGATCCAGTAGAAACATTTTGTAATTATTGTTAACTCAAACTAGTTAATTTTATGAAACAAGAAACAGCTGTGTATACTAAATTTAAGGTGGAGAAAAAAAATGCAGAATGACTGAAGCTCACATGGCATCATATGAAAACTTGAAGTTGCTCTACCCTGCAGAAATAATTTCAAGAACTCAGATGATGACTCAAATGTTAAGCATACATGATGGCAAGATTGACCGCACAAGAGGATTTTTTTTTTTTTATTCCAGTTCCAGTGTTTTTGTAATTCAGTCTCATAATAGCGTTACAGTACCTGACTCTCTAGCTTTTACACGTCAGATGTTCTAAACCTTTCAAAACTAGTTCATAAATCTTAAATCTGATCTCTTTATGAATTGTTTTCATTTCAAACTTTCAAACTTTTATGTTACTGGACAAGACTCCCCTCATTTTCCCTGACGACAATTCATTTTATATGTTTTGTGCTTGGACAGAGATCACAGATCTGCACAGCAGTTTGACCCGTTCGACCCCAACTGTCCTGTGGCCTCAATGTTCAATGATGACCTCAAGGAAGAAACTCCACAAGACATAGCAATCAAGGAAAAAAAAGTAAAGCTCCATTTTAATTTTTCCCTCGTTCCTTTTTACTCTGCATCTAAAATCACTGCCATGGTTTCTCTTTGACTCCAATATGTTTATTTCATTTGAGCCTATTCCCGTGTATTCACTGGATGCCCCATTGGCTCGGTGGCCCAATCCAATGTATTTACGGGATGCGCTTTATCATTCGATATCTCAAGTGTTTTTCGGTTACACGCTATGGGAATCGGCGAGATACAACAGTTGACCCACTTATTTCATTTTGTTTAAAAATTTGATGAAGATATGTGCAACACATTTTTAGCTGTAACGGCCTAAGTTAGTCACTTCTGCATTGCAAATTGGACGCAAAACAAATTGCATAGCACCCCAAACATTGCCATTTCAAAACATTGATAAAATAAAAACTATTTGGACAAATTAGATGCAGTTTTCTTTTTCTTTGCTTTCTTTTTTTATTATGATAGCTTTCACTGTCTTTTTGTGGTTAACACTTCAATATACCCCAAGAGTAGTCTCTCGAGGCCTTTAGGTTAAGGTGTCAACCTCTCATTCAAAGGTCTTGTGTTCGAATCCGGGTAGCGACGTAAAAAATTTTTTCTCTAAAATTGTCTCCTTTCACCTCCTTTCCTGCTCTCTAGCAATGTTCTGTCATCTGCTTTCGTCTCCACTTTCTGCCCCCACCTCCTCACCTCCTTTGCCCCCTCCTCTGAACTTCTGACTCTTTCTACAGCCTTTCTACTGCTACTCCTTAGCTCCTTCTTACTGCTGTCTTTCGGCTACACCCCTGATCTTCTGGTAAGAAAGATCTACACCCAGCCATCTTAGACAAGGGTGAAAAATCTCGGAGGTCCATGTGCGAGTTGCGCCCGTGAAAGATCCCTTGGTGGTCTAAAATCGATAAAAGTAGGCTTCGACCGCCACCCGGGCAAAATTCAAAATTTCCTACTCACTGAAAATGTTTAATGTGCCCTGCGCACTCATATATGACCTTATGCAGTTGCGAGGGCCGTAAAACACTCACCACAAAAAAACACCTCCTAAAGTGTTAAAGCTGCAATGATTTGTTGGTGAAAAATAGCTCAGGCTCAAGTGAGTTATTGTGTTAGGCATGACCATCATAGAGCAATGTCTCTTACTTGGAGATCTTTGAAGTCTTCTTTCTTTTCTTTTTCTTTTGATTTTCATTGACTTTTATTTCTGCATTCTTATACTATATCTTGAAAGTATACTTTCCCTGGCAGTTAAGTGCATTTGAACCAAATACATGAACAATGCCAATTTCTCTCACTCTCAGTTTTTACCTTGCCTCTAGCTTGTCTGCTTTAAACCTACAGAAGACTGAAGTTCGATTGTGATAGGTATGGCATATTTTGTGATATCGTGATATAATGGCATCATGTTTAGGGTAGCTGACTTCTATGGTGTAAAAGTCACACTTTCAAAAACAATGATGATGGGGTGATGATGACGTGACTCATATATAAAACTGTCTTTTTAAAAGATTAATTTAATCATTTAATGCTATGAAACTATTCCAAGGCTCCTGGTTTTTAATTGTTTAAAAATTTTGACACAATGATGATAGTGTTGATGACAAGGAAAATGAGGATAATGATGATGGCTTCCTCAATCTCCAGTCAAACCCAAAGTCTCAAGAAGTGGATTCATCAATGCGGATGTTCACATGCCCGATCAACACCATGAGGGAGTGGATGTCTCTGAATGTAGCTCCTGGCTTAGTGATGTTTGAAGTATTCGGTATGTGTCATGTCATAGAAGATTCGAATTACTAGTTCCATAAATTGTAGTCAAATATATTCTTGATATATGCTTGCTTTTGTAGTGAAAAGAGAGAATTAAAGAGGCCATATTGCAACGCTTGTAGGCAACAATACTTGTGGATCAATCACTCTTCTTTTCTTTCTGGGGGCTCCAGCGGCTAAGTGAGTATTGAGTTTAGACTCATTCAAGTAATGTCAAGCAAGTGTCGGTGACACGGGGATCAGATGGGTGGTCACTGAGGTGTCTTTGAGCAGGACACGACTACCCTAGCTCAAAATACAGGGCGCTGCACAGTGGTGATTAACAGTGGCATGGTTGTAAACTGTTCTGTATTTGTGCAATAATGTGTATTTTATGTATGTATTCATGTGTATTTATGCTTGTATTTAATGTACATATTTATAATTATGTATTTATGTATGTATATAATGTTTGCAATTGTAAACCAAAGTGCCCTAGTCTGGGACAAATAAAAGTGTAATTTATTTATTTTTATTATTTTTAAATTTTTAAAAAAGTATTCCATTTGGCTGGATGAAAAAAACTATTATATCTGTCTCCCTTCCAAGATTTGGAAATGGAAAAGCCAACTCTTTTCTTTCTTTCATTTTTTCATGCATATTAGGAAGCTTTACCTAATTAAAATCTCCCTATTTAGTAAATCTAAGATTGTCTTATTTCCACAGGTATCATTGACTCGGCAGTTCTGAGAACCAAGGACGGTGCAGGGAAGGAGTTCATGCTGAGTGACGATAGCTCTAAGATCAAGTGTATCTTTTATGAAATTGTAAGTGAAAGAGCATTTTTTTTTAACTCGTTCCATCCTAGTGTTATAAACTTATAATTGCTAGCATGCTATGTAATGCTTGGTGTTGTTGCTAATCAGCAAAGTCAGTGAGTACAAAATGATAGAAACTACTGTTTCCATGTATGGTCAGACACCAAGTAATGACGGAGAGTCCTATATTTTATTTTTTTTTAGTACAGTGGAAACCTGATATAACAGGGATGGTGGGAGTAGAGAAAATGTCCTGTTATATCCGATCCCTGTTAAATCAGAAATGCAAAGGAAAGTAAGCATTTGTGGACTAATCCAGCTGTACTTATTCATGGGTAGTTTCCCTTGCCACAAGTACCCACGAACAGGGGTTTTGGCACCAATTTTCTCCTTGCCTCCTTAAACCACATCAGAAGAGCTTGGTCCACGACATCTGCATTTGGTAGTCTCATCTTCTTTCGATCCAGAGCAAACTTTTCATTGGAGTATGCTGCCACTATCTTCTCTCTATCCTTGATAATGGTGTGAATCGAACCTTGTGGAATATCGAACTCGAACTGACGACAAATCTCTGCCAGTGGAGCTTGTTTTTTTTGTCAACAGCCTGGATTTTTTCGTATTTTTGTCAATTGAAAGGCATTTTCTCTAGCGCTTGACATCGTTGGTGACACTTTATGCATGCGTGTTGCTAGGTTTCAGGCGAGATCGAGGTCTGCAGCACACCGCAGCCCTCTCTCGCTTCTCATGCTGCGTGTGCTTGCAGTGGCATGGCTTGCGTGGGCTTGCTCCATCACTGCGTTACTCTCTCTCTCTCTCTCTCTCTCTCTCTCTCTCTCTCTCTCTTTCTGTCTGTCTCTCTCCCTCTCTCTTACTTTTTACTCATTGTTAACGAGCCTTTGTCCCTGCTATAACCGGTTGGGCTCCGATGAGGCCCTGTTATTGCCGATAACTTTTAAAAGAGACAAAGAGTAGGAAAAAACGGGAATTTTAAAAATCCCTGTTATTACCGGATCCCTGTTATTACCGGGCCTGTTATATATGGTTTCCACTGTACCTATAAACATATCCCTGGTCTCATGTTGATGGCTGTTATCACTCTGGTATACCCTGCTTTTTTTTTAACTCTCTTTTGAGTGTTTTTTTGGTGATATTGGTGTCTATCTGCTTTCTGTTAAAAATGGCCTTGACAGGGTTAGTTTGCCAATACAGTGGAAACCTGATATAACAGGGATGGTGGGAGTAGAGAAAATGTCGTGGTATATCCGATCCCTGTTAAATCTGAAAAGCAAGGAAAGTAAGCATTTGTGGACTAATCCAGCTGTACTTATTCATCGGTAGTTTCCCTTGCCACAAGAAACCTCGAACAGGGGTTTTGGCACCAACTTTCTCCTTGACTCCTTAAACCACATTAGAAGAGCTTGGTCTACAGCATCTGCATCGGGTAGTCTCATCTTCTTTCGATTCAGAGCAAACTTTCCATATGAGTATGCTGCCACTATCTTCTCTCTATCCTTGATAATGGTGTGAATCGACCCTTGTGGAATGTCGAACTGACGACAAATCTCTGCCAGTGGAGCTTGCATTTTGTCAACAGCCCGGATTGTTTCGTTGTTTTTTTTTTGTTGTCAATTGAAAGACATTTTCTCTTGCGCTTGACATCGTTGGTGACAGTAGACACATTACGCGTGCGCGTTGCTAGGTTTCTGGCTAGATCAAGGTCTGCAGCACACCGCAGCCCTCTCTCGCTTCACACGCTGCGTGTGCTTGGCTTGCAATGGCATTTTCTCCATCACTGCGTTACTCTCTCTCTCTCTCTCTCTCTCTCTCTCTCTCTCTCTCTCTCTCTCTCTCTCTCTCTCTCTCTCTCTTACTTTTTACACATTATTAACGAGCCTTTGTCCCTGCTATAACCGGTTGGGCTCCAATGGGGTCCTATTATTGCCGATAACTTTTAATAGAGACAAAGAGTAGGAAAAATCTGGGATTTAAAAAATCCCTGTTATTACCGGATCCCTGTTATTACCGGGCCTGTTATATATGGTTTCCACTGTAGCTGAAACTCGGCTCAATGAGTCGTTTTTGCCTAGCATGTATAGTGAGCAGCAAAAGAGAACGTAATCTTTTCTCTTAAGGTTACTTAGAAAGAAATCATATAGCCGTGCTTAGAAAGATGAAGGTAAGTGCCCACATGAAATCGGAGTTCCTTTACTGTTCCGTTTTCTGCTGGTGCTTCTATCCTCTGCCCCTGCAGATTTGGGGAGGGGGGGGGGGCAATAAAATGAGAAGTAAAAAATAATATCTGCCCTGTCACTGCATGCCCCCCCCCCCCCCCCCCAACCCAATAAAACCCATTAAAAAACAGTTGGCGGAGAGCCAACTTGTCAACCCTGTAAAAACTAAAGATGTTACAAAAAACACAAGCAAACACGTCTAATTTTTTAATCTTGGGAGACTGGAGCTTCTATGCCAGCAGGACTAATAAAGGGCAGGGGACAAAGCCGAAAGGACTTTTCTGTTGACCCAAAACCTTCTCCATCAAACAACTCTTTCTGGATTGCGTTGTGGTATGTTCGCACCGTTGTATGAAACAGGAGAGAGTGCTAAAGTGTCATAAAAGATAAAGAGATAGCGGCTGCACATACTAGGAGTTAGCAAAACCCAATGGATACATTCTAGACAGAAGCAGCTCAGCTCGGGGGACAAATTATCGTACATGTAATCTGGTAAGGAAGACAATCACCATGCAGAAGGAGTTGCAATCATATTGAGTCAGTATGCCCAGAAATCACTTGCAGGATAGAAACCATACAGGGAAAGGAGCTTCATGGCTTCATTCACTGCATGGAGCAAGATCATCAACATGAATACAATTCAGTTTATACCCCTAACAAATGATATTATTTATCAGATGAAGGCAGGAATACCTTTTACAGCCTGCTCCAGGGGGTCATTGACAAACTTCCTAGAAAGATTGTCAACATCATAATGGGAGATGTCAGTGCTAATACTGGGCAGGACAACATAGGTGTTGAAGGATAAAAAACAACAACACTAATGAAAATATAGGTTATGAGGGCAGTATAGGACAGCATGGTTTGGGACTAATGAACAAGATTGGTGAGTGATTTATTTTTAGTATTTCAGTCAGAATCTCTTCCTTCCTGTCTCACAGCTACCGGTGTCATCCTTATACTCCTTCTTTTGTTAGTGTTTTACACTCTGGTAACATCTGTAATCTTTGGCACTTATATAACCTAATTGTGTTGCAAGTGCCATAAGACTCATCTCTTCCTTCTTTTCTTTGGTAAAACGAGGTGTTGTCATTAATTTTCCCTGCCTATAAAACTCAACCGAGCGACAACGTTTTTCTCTCTTTGTTCAGGACCGAGAATTGCCTAAGATAACCAGAGGTCAAGTTCACAGGTGAGTAATGGAGAATTTCTCCTCTGGAATATTTGACCTGTAGATGTATGTGTACAATTTTGATTAGTTAAAAGATCTCAGATGTGTTTTCAGGAAGTGCACAAAAAATGTGTGTGCGCCTAGAGAAAAGTACCAAAAGTCGCCCCAGACCGTTTTGACCTACAGGCTGATGATAATGACAAAAATCACTTTTTGGACCAAAATGTGTTTCGGTAAAAAAAATGATAGATTCCCCCGTTTTTTCACAATGTGCTCAAAGGGTTTTCATTGATTTAACTTTTAAATGTTTTATTTTGAATTATTTTGAGGGTAGGGTATAACAAAAATAAATAATTTAAACTGCTTTTAAAAGGTGTTAAAATCTATTCTTGAAGCACATTTTCTCTTCCCTGCTATGTTTTACAATTTAATTCCATTCATGATATTGATGTCAACTGAATGCCAAATTGGACATGAATTTTCTATGAATAAATACATTTAAAAGATCGTTTTTTTAAAGTTTGTATGTGTTCTCAGGTTTGTTAAACTTAAAAGCCCATTTTCTCAAGTTCTAGCTTTATACCCGACCTCGCAAAATGTGCAATATCTCAAGCACTACTTGAGATGTCTTAAAAATTCAAAGACCCCTGTCTTCAGCATTGAGTTTCCTATAAAAGGTAAACCCTTAACTCCAAATGGTCAAAATCCGACTTTTGGTACCTTTCTTTTAGACACACACACAATGTATACTAGTTTGTACTCGTGCCCAGCACAGCACTCACAAACTGTTATCTTCTTGGAGAAATTTGGTTTACAGTGGCATAATATACACATGCTCTCTCTCTCTCTCTCTCTGTCTGTCTCTCTCTCTCTCTCTCTCGCGCGCGCGCACGCACACACACACACACACACACACACACACACACACACACACACACACACACACACACACACACTCACACATACATACATATGTGTACAACGTGTATATAACTTCTTTAGGACAGATGTGGCGTCTTTCCCCTCTTTTTCCAGTGTCATCTATCTCCCTTTCCTGTCAATCTATCACCAGAAGGGCGGGTTTAGCTAAATTTGACCCTCAAAGTCCAACAATAAGGAGCTCGCCCTTTGAAATGAGCTAATTATAACTGGAAGGGTTTTATACTAAAGCAAAAGCAAGAAGGAAGAAAACTGAAGGAAATTCAATTTCAGCTTATTTTATCATGTTCCTGGTGAAGCCTCTGTAGAAGAGAAACGTGGTACGATTTCAGAATGCTAAAAACTTATTGAATCATGATATCCAAAACTCCTTATTCTTATACCACTTTGCAATAGTTACTTTTTTAAGTATTTAAGAGTGCTCTGTAAGCTCAGTTGTTTTCAAGGCAGACTACAGAGCAAATGGCCCTGGTTCAAATCCCAAAGTGGGCGTTCTTGAACTCAGGTCATTTTGCAGAGCCTTTTAGGCTCTCAACCCATTTGGCACAGTCCTATCGGAGACTGACGTTAATAATATCGAAGGTCTTGCCTCTTTATATAATACTAATAGTGTTGATAGAGCTGTTAAACCCATACACTTACTTATATTAGTATTAGTATTTAAAAAATAGAAAAACATGGTGTAGTCGCAGCAGCCATTTTTAGTGATTAGCGCTTCGACATTGCGCTTGCGAAATTGCTCTACTCGTTTTTACAACTTTTGAGATAAATGGAAAAAGAATAGCTTTACTTGACTACTTATTATCATCTAATAATGGTAAAACTTGCCGAGCATGTTTATTTTTACCAAAAGATATAGTGCCACAAAGCAAAATAAAAATCTAGTAGCGTTATGTATGGCACAACGCTATTTTGTTAGTGCAGTGATGACTTGTTCTTTTGAAAATCAGCCTTGTTCTTTTGAAAATCAGCCTTGTTCTTTTGAAAATCAGCCTTGTTCTTTTGAAAACCAGCCTTGTTATTTCTCCCTGGATAGGGTCATTGGTTCCGTGGACTGCAAGCAGAACAAATTCAAAGTTGTGTCAGTGCGACCTGCGGAAGACGGAGAGAGGCAGATCTGCCACTACGCGACACAAGGCTCCCACACTGAAATGGAAGAGCTAGCTCGTCTGTCGAATGAACCGTAGAGACACTTAACACTCTGCAAATTACAGTGCAGCTTCTCTATAACGACATCGTCGGGACCAGAAAAAAAATGTTGTTATAGAGAGGGGACCAAAAATTACTAATGATATATTAGGAAAAAATCGAGACCTGGGCACCATGTTGCTATACACAGAGGATGTCGTTATATCGAAAGTTGTTGTAGAGAGGTTGCACTGCATTCCTTGCTGCTAATTTGTAGCAAAATGTATGTGTTACATAATATGCACATATACATATTCTCATACATACACATACATGAACTCATACACGCACAGACGCACTCATGCACGCACACAAACACACACACATCCGCTTGCTCAAACGCACACACACACACACTCACACACACACCACACACATGCTCACACATAGACACACACACACACATGCACACACACTCCCACACACATACACACACAAACTCACACACACACACAAGTACAAGCGCACGCACTCTCTCACGAACACATCCACTCACACATTCGCTCACACAAACGCACACACTCACACACACACACGCACACACACTAACATTTACTTGCGCAAATGTTATATAAGTAAACGCACACACCCAAACAGAAGCACTTACACATATCATGCACGCACACACACACGCAATACATTATTGTTGATTCGAGCAAAACCATAACATTGGCTTTAATTTCAGCATTTGTGATTTGTTAATAAATTTGCCTATTCGAGTATCATTTCTATTTTGAGTCAGATTTTGAAACGACAAAATTTGCTGACATGACAGTGTACATATATTGTGAGATTTTTCTTTTTTTGGATTGTTCTGTTGCAACGAATAAAAAATTCTCATTTCTAATAATGGATTAATTTACATTATAATGTATAATGTATTCAGCTACATGTATTGGCCAAACTGACTTGCTAATCAAAATGCCCTTTGTTCAAACGACTCTTTTTCAGACAAAACATGGAAATGTGTTCTCCTATTGGAGTGTGATTGTATTATATTGAAATTTACAACTAAAAATAAAATAAAATATTCAAGTTGAGATTGTCGTAACAGAGTCAGTGTTCATTACGTATCAAATGCGACTGTACTTTTTGTCAAGTTAGGCTCATAAACCCATATGCTTACTTTATTTTACTTTTTCTGTCCTCCTGTACTGCAAGGTGTTGAGGGGAGATGCAGTTGCTGGACATAGGCCAGGTGTGTTGCTGTTTGGACTGCGTCATGCTATTCTTTTTTAGAGTCTCTTTTACTCCGTCAATCCATCTTTATCTTTTTTTCAGCCTTTCTTTTGTCTTGAAGCCATTAAATAGTTCACATAAACCTTTAAATGGTTCAATTACAGTTGAAAATCCACTCTTTGACTGAACATGGAAAGCGTACTGTGTATACATGGCTACCTAGCCATGTGGGTATCAAAGGAAACAGCAGGGCGAGCTTCTGGCAAAGTAATTCTTGTCCATTCTGTTGGGATCAACGGAGAACACCCTCCCACAGACAGCCTTTAAAAATAAGATGGAACCCCAGTCTGTATGAGGAACTATGGAGTGAACAAGTAAATAATAAACTCCACAATATAATGCCCAAGTTGCAGTACTCGTCTGCTGGACCTTCAAAAGTGCACTGCAAACATCTTTGACGCGAAAAACTTGAAACCATTTTCATTTGCCCACTTTTCAAGTTTGAACAGCTACTTTTGGGCACAGCTGTATTGTCATAGATCTGATTTGAGGCTTTCTGGATCAGCATTATATCAGAAAGTCATCAAGGTATAACAAGCTGTCTATGTTAATTTTAAAATTTTTGTTTTGCCTGATCTTGAAGAGATTCAGATCTTATATTCTCTTCAGCACATCAGAGCTGCGGATGGTCACATAAGGCTACTGTACTATGAAAGCTTCCTGGGATGAGTGGAAGTTGAAACAGTCGCAAGGTCCTCTGGATTATTTTGTTGACTCAGTTCAGCGGCCGCCCCTGCTTCTGCAAAGTGAGACTTTTTAGAAACTTTGGGCGCGGGTGGTTGGAGGGCGCCACTGGTAGGTCTTACCTAACTTTACTGTCCCTGTGTTGTTTCTATCTATCTTATTTGTTCCCTAGCACTAAATGACCGTTATCGTGTCGATATCGATGTGCTTCTCCTTACTCAAACAAACAAACAAACACAACAGAGCTGTACCAAGGAACAGACTTATAATTATGTGTTTCAGCTCCCAACCAATTGAGTGACATGGGCCTTTCCACATAACTGTTTAAGAGTAATTTAGAGAGAATACTTGAATGTAGTAGGCTACTGGGGTCCTAGGAAAACGGAGGGCTCCATGTTTCCTCGCCTCTCTTCATAAGGGTCCATTTCAGTGTGGGCAGACTGATTGTCTCCAATGAGTAAGAGAGAAATGTGGGCCAAAGGAATGTGTTGGCAGGGGACAGCAATCCACTCTATAGGCTGGTCTTGCCTCACCCACCAGGTAGGCCTACCCGGTTTCCCACCCAGGTAGGTTGCACCTCACGTTCAATCTAAGAAGGCACGCACCCACGCTGTGGAATGTTTGTGGGGGGGGGGGGAGGACTATAGTGTTGCTGCGCATGACGTCATCTGTGGGGGAGGTAGAAAAAGAAAGTGAGAAGAAACGAAAGTCGAAAATACACCAAAAGAAGGTGTCGCGCATGGATCCTAAGAGGGCTCAGGTCCATAAATATTTCAAATCTCATCATTAAAGATGAAGGGGTTCCACCTTCTGTTGACGGGACAGTGGGAATACCCTCCCCCAACCTCGCCCCTCCCTTGATCCCTTCCACCTGCCCTTAGGCCGGGGGAGGGGGGGGGGGTGCTGAATCTGCTGTACGCTACCAGGTGTGCAATTTTGCTTGTTTTCTATGTTGACACACCCGTCTATCAAATTTAGACTTCCTTTTTTTTTGGTAAGTGTTTTACTGCATGTGAGGGTGCGGGACACACCAAACATATTCAGTTTGTTGGAAATTTTGGATGGCCGAAGCTTACTATTATCGATTTTGGACCACCAAGGGGTCCTTAACGTGCGCAACTTGCACCCAGGACCTCCGAGATTTTTCGCCCTTGTCCGAGAAGGCTATGTGTTGATCTTGCCTGCCATAAGACAAGGGTGTGGCTGAAAAACAGCAGTATGAAGGAGCCGAGGAGAAGCCGTAGAAAGGCTGCAGAAAGAGTCAGGAGCCCAGAGGAGAGGCCTAAGGAGGTGAGGAGGTAGGGGCAGAAAGTGGAGACAAAACCAGGCGACAGAACAGAGTTAGAAAGTAGGAAAGGATGTGAAAGGAGAAAATTTTACAATTTTAGAGAAGAAAATTTTCCGGTGCTATCCAGATTCGAACCCGCTACCAATTGAATGAGAGGTGATCACCTTAACCTCTAGGCCACGTCGAGAGCCCCATGACTAGTTTTGAACTGATTAGTTTATTTATTTACTTTTGGGAGGCGGGGTAATGTTTATACAATGATGTGTTCTGTCGGATTGGATCGTGGAATGTTACGACCCTTTAAGAGGCTGGGAAAACTGCACAGGTCCTCCAAGAGACGCACCGATACCACCTACACATACTGGGAATCAGCGAGACCCACTTGAACCAGTCTAGACAGAAGCGAATAAAAGAGGGGAAGCTTTTCATTTATTCAGGAAATAACAGTGAAGGACCACCCAGGGAAGGAGTATGAATGATCATATCCAAAACAGCGCAAAAGACATCCAGGGGCTGGGAAGCGCACGGTTCAAGGATCATTATGGCCTCATTTGTAAGAAAGAACTCTAGGAAAGAGATGGTAGGAAGAAAGTCATATAAACAAGAACATCATATAAGCGTATGCCCCCAACCAATGATGCAGAAGAGGAGAATAAAGATGACTTCTACAACTGCTTGCAGAATGTGATCGACAAACTTCCAGGTAAGGACATCAACATTGTGTCATGGGATAACAAAATGCAAAGGTAGGTTCGGACAATCGTCATTGTGAGGAAATCATGGGCAGACATGGATTAGGAGAGGCAAATAACAACGGAGAAAGGTTCCAGAACTTATGTTCATTCAACAGCTGGGTTATTGCAGGAACAATCTTCCCACATAAATGAATTCATAAGGCCCCTTGGGTCTCCCCGGATGAAACAACGGAAAACCAGAATGACCACTTTTGCATCTCCCGAAAATTTAGGCGGTCACTGGAGGACGTCCAAGTCTTACGAGGAACAGACGTCGCATCAGACCACCATTTAATCCTTGGAAAGATTAAACTGAAGCTGAAAAGGTATGCTCTAATCACAATTGGGAGTCGCTAAAAGTATGAAGTGAGCCTTCCGGAAGACCCAGTAAAGAACAATGAATTCAAGTTGGAACTGTGAAACAGATTTCAAGCCCTTCAAGATCTGGACGAATGTGAAGTAAACGAACACTGGGACAAGATGAAGTAGACAGTATGCAACTTGCCGGAGCATCCTATGACCAAAAGTTAAAACCAGGAATAAATAGATTTCACAAGACTCTCTAGACAAAATGTAAAGAAGGAGAGAGCTGAAGGCCCCAGTCAACAATAGCTGCAACCGAACTGAGAAACTCGCTGCACAACAAGAGTAGATCTACACCGAAGTAAACCGGGAGGTAAAGAATTCCATCACGAAGGACAAGAATACCTACCTGAATGGTCTGGCCGAAAGGGCAGAGAAAGCAGCAACAGTCGGACACTTGCGGATTGTACATCAGACAACAAAGACTCTTTCAGGTAGGTTCAGCAAGCACTCTACCAGTGAAAGACAAAGAGGGAAAGACTATCTTCAACCCAGAGGGGCAACTGAACCGATGGAGAGAACACTTTTATCAACTCTTGAACACACCACTCCTATAAAACCAACCAGAACATTTTCCAGCCAGAAATTACTTCCCAATCGCTACGGAACCACATTCGAGAGAGGACATTGCTGCAGCTATAACAGCACTGAAGTCCCACAAGGCAGCTGGTCCCAACCATACTACCGGAAGCCCGGCAGGTAAAGATACATCGGTGGAAATTCTCCATGCTCTATTCGAAAAGGTTTGGCAAGAGGGGGAAATACCATCATGCTGGAAGGAAGGCCAACCAATCAAGCTGCCAAAGAAAGGAGACTTCGGGAATTGCTACAGAGGCATCATTGTTGAGCAATCACTTGAATGGAATTCACCAATCGTCAACGTCATTGATTATGAAAAGGCATTTGACAGCAGGGACAGCGAAAGTCTGTGGAAACTCATGCAGCATTATGGAATACCTGACAAATCGTCAAGTTTGTGAAGACCCCCTATGATGGAACAAACTGCCAAGTCTTCCATGAAGGACAACTCTCAGAACCATTCCAGGTACAGACAGGGGTGCGACAAGGATGCTTGCTCTCACCCTTTCTCTTCATACTGGCAATTGACTGGATCAGGAAAGAAGCCACCAAAGGCAAGCGCAATGGAATACCGTGGGTCCCTTGACAGCAGCTGGATGACTTGGACTTCGCCGATGACTTTGCATTGTTCTCTCACACACATGCTCAGATGCAAGAAAAGACCAAGGAACTCAACAGTCTATCAAGGAGTGTTGGCCTACGTATACACCCGGGAAAGTCGAAAGTAGTGAAGCTAGGAAACGTTTCAAGCCCTGCTGTCACAGTGGAAGACATTCCCCTTGAAGAAGTGGACTCTTTTACCTACCTTGGAAGTGTCATCGATGGTAAAGGTGGAACTGAGGCAGATGTAAAAGCAAGAACCGCCATGGCAAGGTCAACATTCAAGCAATTATCAGAAGTCTGGAAACCAAGCAACATCTCACAGCGCACCAAGATTCGACTCTTTGATTCCAATGCCAAGTCTGTGCTCCTCTACGGCTGTGAAACTTGGAAGACAACTAAGACAATGCTGAATAAAGTTCTGACTTTCATCAGCAGATGTATGAGTAGTCCTAAGAATTAAGTGGCAGGATAGACAAGAAATGAAGAGCTATGGGAAAGGACAGGACAAAGGGAAGAAACAGGACTAAGAAAGTGGCGTTGGATGGGACTCACCTTCAGAAGGCCCAGCGGAAACATCACAAGATAGCCACTGTAATGGAACCAAAGATAGTACAGCCTACGGTATGGAACCCACAGATATCACGAGGCAGGGGTAGGCCACTGGAAACATAGAGGGGAAGTGTGGAAAGGGACATATTATGAGAGAGATGAAGCTCACTTGGAACGAGCTAGGAAGGATGGCCCAGGACAGAGATACATGAAAGGAGCTTGTATGTGGCCTATACCCTGGCCAGGGGTGAAAGGCATTGATGATGACATGTCCAGTAGATCTACATTGTATAGATAAAATTGAGGTCCATGTTTTTGAAGTACGACAGTAACGAGTTGCTACTGCTGCGACCACTTCCGGAATTGACCTTATTGCCAAAACAATAACAAACAATGGCGACGAACGCTGTGGCCTTATTCTTCCTGGTTATACTGCTTTCAGGTAAGTGTTGTCGCATTTTTAAAACATGTGTTCCTATACTTGCTGATTTTCATGGGGAAGATTGAAGAATACCGGGCGCTTTTTCGGTAGTTCCCACCCCCCTTATTTGATAGAGCCTGACCTACATCTAGATCTAGATCTATATTAGACTATATACGTTTGATTCGCGGCAAGCTAAGATGTCAAA